CCCATTTTGTAATGCCTAAATGCAAATTTGAAATCCTATACAGACTATTATTCTTTATAAAATACCAAATTGAATGTAGACCTCAAATCAAGCATTTTATAACTACAAGTACTGTACTGAGGTTAATTCTCCCTCTAGCAGGGGGAAGTTTCAAACCATGATCATTAACTAGGCTGTGTACATAGTGAGTCAAAATGACAGGTTTAGACTGAAATTAAACCAATTTCAAATGGAATGGCCACAAACTTACAATTGATAGTGAATTGACTGTCTGTCTTTATAGTAATCTCCTCATGCCCCATATCCTTAGCTTGCTGTATGGCTCGACAAATTGCCTATAATCACAAGAACATACATAAGGTCAAAACTAACATCAAACATGTAATTACCAATTTCTTAAAAACCAAGAGGACTCTAAAATGAGAATGACAGGTTAACACTCAAAACTTTAGTCCAAATTCCATGAGTAAATGTCAAAGGATGTTATTCACAGTCAAGGCTATGCTTTTTTTAATACTGTAAAACGCGTATTGTTAGCGAGGGGTAATTGTTAGTGATTGTTAGCAATCGCTATAGTTTCGCTAAAATAAACCGGGGTTAAAATAAACCGGGCGCTAAAATTTGCAAATTCCCGGGAAACTAAATTACCAGTATTTAAGGAGCTTTTCGTTCAGTGCTCGACTTCCGGTTTGTAATTTGAGATTAAATCAACGATTTTAAATGCTACCGTGATTTTGTGATTAGTCAGATGAGATTACAGTAGTTTGGACCAATACCATGTGCGTTAGAAGTCTTACATTTTGATAATTCCTCTGTCATGTCCGTAATTCATTCTTCTGCCATAAATGATAAAATTTCTAATGCATTTCGCTAATTTGATTTTTTAAAGATTAATCTTCATTTCGCTAAAATTTCTCGCGCTAAAACCTCCTAAAATTGAAAAATCGCTAAAATTTCCCAGTGTCAAAATTAGCCGTTTTACAGTAAGCAATGCACAAGCATGATGTGGTAGTTCTAAACCACATCTTTTGACAGCCAGTTTGGACTCCCGTTTTTGTTTGGTCATAATCACTGAGTTGGTGTATAGTTCACCTTATTTTTTAACTTCAGTTGAGTCTCAAAACTTTAAGCATCATTTTGATAAATATAACATGGTCAGAATCGCTTGCAAATTACAGATATTGAGCTTGAAGCACAAATTTCTTACTTTTTTGGGCCAAAACTCTGCTCATGGACATGACCTCATATCTATTTATAGATCGTCAAGAAACTTCATTCTATTATGTTACATAGATGGTGCTGACATGTTAACAATAAAAATGTGACTTAAAGTTTAATAACCTCTAATGCTCATTCTTACATATATTTCTGCTCTGTTATTGGTCTGTCTTCCAGGCAACCGCTCTGATACATTGCTGAAAGCATACATTAATTGCCAATATTTTCATAATGAATGCACAAACAGTTTCAGAGTCACGATTCAGTAAAGTCATTCTGCTGATGAGGATAGTATTCTACAACTAATGGACATAGAATTTTCTGGACATTCTTGATTTAAATTTCTTGAAAAATCAACATAGATTCCATACTCATATCATTTTTTGATAAACAGTAGGCCTAGTTTACTTAAATTGCTAATTCCTGTATCTGATAAAAAGGGAAAAGCTTTTGATAGGAAAAATATTTTCTTAAAGTCAGAACTACAAGTTGAAAGCCTGATAGAGAACTGGTAAAAATATTAAATTTACCTTTGATGACCAGGCCCCCAGTAGACTCCTATCCCTGCTCTTGCATTTTCTCTACCATTGTTTATACAGGCCCCATCGGTGTACACAACTGGTTGACTTTCTACAAACAAAATAACATAATTATGTTGGTCCTCTAAGTATAAACTTATGTATGGTAAGGTGACCAAAGCATTTTTTCAGGAAATGTATTCTGTTCTGATCCTGCTGCCTGAGAAAAAATATTTAAACTGCATGTAACAACAAATGTAACTAGAAAAACAGCAACTCCCCAGAGTGGGCGATTCCACAAGAATAAGAAATAACTGATTATTTTGAACATTTCATGATGGAAATAACCAGGTAGTAGTATTGTCTCCTTTTGGATCTAGACCCAATCTAGATCTAATCTAGACCCAGGACATGCAACCATATTAATAAACTCCTTCTTGTTAGAAGCCAGATAAATGGACAACAATATTTGAAGTCTGTACCACATCCACGTAGATAACAGTAACACCAGGTGTAACAAAACAAATTCCATCAAACATCTTAAGAATTTCAGAAAACACTGCCAGAAATTATGTCTCAAATTGGCCACCATAATGCTAAAAGATGATGTGTCATTCTTGGATCTATAAACATACATGTATTGTACATATATATATATCAGCAAAACCACTCTAGTGCTTTTCCAGTTGTAGTAAAAACCTTTAAAAAAATTGAAATGCTTTAACTAATGATGATAGTGTTTTTGATATTTCCTAGCTTTTTGAAGAAATACATGTACATACACAAATGTTAAATCACACTTATATCTCTACATCATGAAAATAATCACATTATCAGAACTGATCTCAATTTTTCAAAGCCTAGCTGTGTTCTGATATGATGCTTACAGAACCATATAGTAGTTGTAAATCAAGTACTTCCAAATGAATGCCCAGTGGGACAAAGCAACCAAGAAAAAGATTCTTATGCTAAATGACAACTGCTCCATTATATAAGGATGCATTCCTTTCACTGGCATCAGGCATAATGCAATACATGTGTAATAAAAAGTGGCAAAGTGCCGCATATCAGTCAACATTCAAGATACTATTGTGTGATAATGAGGCCACTGTGCCAAATAAGACTTCTCGCTCTTCCACTGAGCTTAATGAATAAAATGAGCTTACCAGTTTTTTGTCTTTTCCTAGGAATGTCTGTGTGAAGTGTCCTTTTTTGTACAAGTGGAGAAGTTGGCTCACCAGTACTTATGATTGAATCAATCTGATTGTCAATATGATAACAAGTCTCGTGTAAGGCCGCATTTTGTTGTTTAAAAAGTTCCAATGAATGTTTTAGTCCTGTAAGTTGTGCAACTACTTTGGGAGATGGAGTGTCTGATTTTTTTGATTTCTTAGATTTTTCTAATTTCCTTTTTGCTCCTGGGTGTACATAACTGTCCCCTAATCTCTGTAGGTCTGCTATACTGGGAGGTGTTGTTGCTGGCTCTGGAATAATATAATCACAAAATGTCAGATTCTCAAAGGTTCCACACTAAATTGCACATGTAAATCTATTTGCTTGAACTAGCTACTAGTTCCCATCCAACCATGTTACCAAAACAGGCCTTTTGAAATTGAAATTCAATAACAAATGATACTCTAAAAATCATTTTCACCCATCTTATCAAAACAAAACAGCCATGCATTAAAGATTATACACGCAGCTGACGTTGTTATAAACTGAACCCTGAAATACTCAAGAAAGCTGATGTTTTGGCGTCCATCAGAACCAGTGATCAGAACAATAGAAGGAACAATCCTCATACTGACAAATTTATCATGAGTATTTGTACACAAGATTTGTCCTATTTGTTCATCATTGTATATTTTCTCATAAAGCTCAAAATATCACTAGGTACCTCGGAACAACCCATGATTGCTTTTTGAAGGAGGTCCTACTTAAAATGAAATTGGAACTTAGAAACATGAAGCAGTGCTTCAAAGCCACTTACATGTATACATGTTCTAAGAACTTCAGAATCATGAAGATTTAGTTAAATTAGTAAAAAGAAACTTGTCTTTAGTTACCATATGGCCTCTTTAGTGATTTAGCTGTATTTGATGTAGAAGCTTGAGGCTGTCTATATGGTGATTCTACACTGGAAGAGGCAACACCAGCAAATTCTTTGGCTTCTCTTTCTGTTGGAAATTTCTTATATTTAGCTCCATTAAATCCCTTAACTTGCGCTTCACATTCCCCCCTGGAAATACAAAAACAAGACACCTAGTGATGAATATTACACTTTTCCTGTATGTATATCATATTAATAGTTCAATTACTTTATGTACTCCAATGTAATTATAGTGTACCCTTTAAAATCTAGCATACAATTACAATACCGATAATTAGAGGAGCAGGTATGTAGATTTTTGGGAATTTCACATATCATCATCAAACATACAGAATACTAAATGAAAGCGTAACTTGAGTGGTGTTACATTGTTAACGAAGTGATATTATAACCAGTGACGTCATATTGTTGCTATTGACTCCGTAATGATAACATAGGCTTCTTTGTTGAAACATGGGCTGATGGTTGAAATCAAATGGTCCACCATATCGCATGATAATGAGTTATGTACCATGTGATATGGAATATGCATCATCACAATTTACCGATCAAAATGCTGAGAAACTCCTAAACATGTGATAATAGACTACAGATGTATATTAGACTAGGCTATAGAAACATAAAAGGGGACTGACTTTAGCCGTAGGCTACATATGATGTAGATCTAAAAAAAACTCCTAACCAAACCCGTCTGGCCCAGTTATCTACTCCCGAAGTCGTAGATCTACGACGTCAGGAGTAGATAACTGGGCAGGTTTGGTTAAAAACTCCCTGTGAGAGTGACTCAAGATCTATTACTTTCTCACAACAAGCTTTATGAATATGAACAGGCATACCAGGATTCATATACTCCTGGTTTCTTCCCGACTTTTACTGCATAATATGGCATTCTTGGAAGTGATATACTTGAGATAAATGTATAAAATCGTCTAAACATTGAAAATATCAAACACCGGAAGAGGCCACCGGAAAAGTGTTGAAAACACAGTCCAATAATATTTTGTAAATAACTTGACCTTGAATAGAATAGTTATAAGAACACTTTTTATTTCTTTTATCCTAGATATTTCCAAACAAAAAATTCTATAAGATTAAATTTCAATCCCTCAAAAGTCTCCAAATTTGATCTCAACAAATGCAAAAAGCTGTAAGGTGTTATAGTCAACTTCCGGTTTGAATAGTCCTATTTCGTAATTTGTTATATATGTGATTATCGATCACTTATATACTCTTATAGGTCAGTTTTATGCATTGAATATGTGACTCGTACTCCATTCTCAAAATATACTGCAAATCTTAGGTGAGTTGGAACATTTTCTTTTGATAATGAGGTCAGATAGGAAACAACTTTTTAGCCATTTACGATTTACCTTCTTCTAAGGCCACTGTATCGTGGCCTTCCAGTACAGATATATTCCTGCATGAACAACTGGTAATGTCGTAATCATAAAATTTGAAATCATATGTCCGCCATTTTTCCACATCACAATTTGAATTGCGAGTTTTGGTCTTATTACCTCACCAAAAATTCCAAAACACACACAAAGTGATCAGTGTATTAGTTCACATCTTCTGGATCGCTAACTTAGAATTTACAGCCAGTTACTAATGTCAGACGTAACGACATTTCGTCCAGTTTTCGAACATCGCCATTTTTCTTGGAGCCATTTTGTTTTAATTTTAGACGAAATCCTGATGAAATCATGTCATATCTCATCAAGGATTTGAGCTGGGTCCGGTTTGATTAATGATTTATTTATCTGGCGATTTTTAAAATATTCAATAAATTTATGACACCCCGGCAGCTTTTTTCAAATAGAGTTCACAGTATTCCAGATGAATCCCCTCTAGCCAAGTATTGGCTAGAGACTCGAGTAATTTACGATGCTCATTGATTCCAAACCCAAAGGCTTTGTACAAAGTGGAGTGAATTAATCCGTTTTAGATATTGACTGATATTATTAATGTATCAATAACCAAACATAGATCTTTTGCATAGAACAACAAATATATGTAGGACAGCCACACAACTTACAGTAGCGGTAGGGTTGATGTATTATAGTGGTACGATAGCTTGTCAGTGACAACTCCTCTGAAAAATACATTGTTCAAAATCATTTTTTTGATCTTGTGATTGCTGATGTAAACATGGGCTCTGTGGTAAAGCCCATGATGTAAATTAGGAACCTAATTAAGGTGACATTTAAGTTAATCAAAAGTACAAAAACATGGGAGCCATATTTTTTTGATAAAGTCAGAAGATTTTGTATACTGTTTTCCTTGTATGTGAATGCATTTCCTGACTAAAGAGACACATAAAAGAAAACCTCACATTTAAACGCATTTTTCATAACTATGAATTGGAGGTGTATGGCTCCCAAAAGCTAGCATGAAGAGTGCGAAGTGAGGCTATTTTTTGAAAGTTTCAAGGAGTAGCCTTGCAACAGACACACATTTGCAATAATTCAAAATTTCTAGATATAGTCTTACCTTACCAAGGAACAACGAAGGAGCAAGAAAATGTGTACTTCTTGCATTGTTAGAGTATAATAAAGCTCAAACCATTGTGAATTCTAAATATTTCATGTCCACCATTTTGTTTCCTGGAACTATTTTTTAGTCCAGAGTTATCTTCATTCATGTTTCCATTGTTTATCATTCATAAAGCCTCTATCATGTATCTATCATGATAATTACACTGTAATAGATAAAACATACAACTGATAATCCATGCCACTTGGTGTAGTCACAAAACTTGCATGAGGATTAATCAGGAAGTCTAGAAGTAGTTCCGGCAAACAAAATGTGGACATGAAATATTTAGAATTTACAATGGTTTGAGCTTTATTATACTCTAACAATGCAAGGAGTGCACATTTTCATGCTCCTTCGTTGTTCCTGGGAAAGGTAAGATGATTTGTAGAAATTTTAGACGTTTGCAAATGTGTGACTGTTGCAAGGCTACTCCTTGAAACTTTAAAAATTAGCCTCACTTCGCACTCTTCATGCTAGCTTTGGGGATCCATGCACCTCCAATTCATAGTTTTGAAAAATGCGTTTACGTGTGATGTTAACTTTGACATGTTTCATTAGTCAAGATACACAATTCATATACAAGGTAAACAGATTTTAAAAACATGTGTCTTTATCAAAAAAATATGGCAGTCATTTTTTGTACTTTTTATTTAATATAGCGTCGCCTTAAGAGTAATAAAGGTAGAATTAGCCAAGGGTATCTCCTTGGGTTACTCGAGTCTCTAGCCAAATTACTTGGCTAGAAGACATGGCATGTGGACCAACGGGCACTAGTGGAAACGTTGATTCTGGAGTAAGAATTTTTTAGATGTTATTTTAAGGTGCTATGGAAGTTAACAGGAAATGACAGAACAAGAAGTGACAAATTTTTTTGCATTTTTAGACATTTTTTGACCAAAGATAACAGAGTTGTGTTTTGACCTCCAGTCGATTCAACTAGTTCCAAATACCATTTACAGGTCCAGGATCACAATGTGCAGGGTCAGAATGACCCTAAACATGATGAAATACCCTTTTTAGCCCTTTGAAAGTGTGACTGAAAAAAAGCTAAAAGTAGGAGCTAGGGAAGGTCACTGAACAGAATCTTTTGAATTTTTCAGAAAATGTGCCCAATATAACGCTCTAACTGATACAATCTTTGAAATTTTAGAAAATTGTCTTAAACAAAAATGACAGTCATAAAAAGGAAAATAAATCGCTTTTAAAATTAGTTTTTTCATTTTTTTTCTTTTTCCATGAATGATATCAAATTTTCAAAGATTGTATCATTTAGAGCAATATATTGGGCACATTTTCTGAAAAATTCAAAAGATTCTGTTCAGTGACCTTTCCTACCCTCCTACTTTTAGCTATTTTTCAGTCACATTTTCATAGGGCTGAAAACGTTATTTCATTATGTTTAGGGTCATTCTGACCATGAACATTGTGATCCTGGACCTGTAAATGGTATTTGGAACTAGTTGAATTGACTGGAGGTCAAAACAGAACTCTGTTATCTTTGTTCAAAAAATTTCTAAAAATGCAAAAAAAATTGTCACTTCCTGTTTTGTCATTTCCTGTTAAGTTCCATAGCACCTTAAAAATTGTAATGAGAATATTTCATCAAATAGAATGTAAACGAAAACTATCCTTTGTAAGATATTGCATGCTTTCATCTAAACTTAAAATTATTTGGTCTGCCATTTATAAAAACATCTGTTGAGGTTGATCTTTATCTCGCTTCAGCGAAAAACAAAATGGTCGTTTTTATTGAAGGATCTTTTTCAAAAGATTTCTCTTAGAAAAGACTAAATAAAAGCCGATGTAGATGGTCATATGAACTAAGACTACATGTACATACTAAGTTCAATGAAGGTATGTTTATGAGTTATTTATAGCAACAGTTCACACGGGATGGCGTTAAAAGCAATAAAACAAACAGGGCTTGAAGCTTCACTTCCCAAAAATAAACATTACAACAATTCAATTTTTAAGTAGTTTATAGGTACAATTAAATGCTATAAAAAGTATCACAACGCATTGTCAAATGGAAATAAAGCTAGGGGAATAGAAGTAACAAATATCATGCAAATTAATTTACTCCATTGGCCATTTTGAATGGCACTTCCTGTGTTAACAAATAATTTGCAATCCCAAATTTTAACAAATGTGGGCTATAGTCTGAATATTTTCATTTCCAAATTTCAAAAAATGTCAGACTAGTGGATGTAGTCTAGGGTATCTCCCCCGGACAATCAGTGATGTCCCATTATAATTGCTTATATAATATCTTAAGATGTACATCTTTTAAAGAGGTCAGTATTTTATAAAATTGCTTCATCTTACAGATTACATGGATTTGAATTTGTAAAACAAATTGAAAATTTATGTTTCAATCAAAAATTGTTGGGCTATATAGATTCACGTAAATTACGTCATGAAAACTAAACTTTCATTTATTCTCATTCAGTATATATTATAAATGTAACATCTTTATTATATCTATTTAATGTTTTCAGATAGATAAGAATCCCAGTGTCATGTCTGGTCAAAGGTGCCTACAGAGAAGTACTAGAATCTTCAAAGGATTATGTCAAGCACGCGATTCCTGCAGCATCCTTCCTCCCAATATCAAACTTCACATATCAACAACTCCTAATCAGAGCAGGATTCTCAGCAAGTCAATTGTTTTTTGTCAGGATGGAGTTGAGATTCGAGAGATTCCTATTTTAGTGAGAAGAACTGACAAGTATGACTTTCCAGTGATTAACTACATGGGGACTGGTTCAGTTGATGATATTCAGAAAATATCTGAACATGATAACTTTTTCAAGGAGAGGCTTCAAGCTTGTCGGAGTGCAACTCAGGTATTGTTATGGTTTAGGCTTATATAAATTTCATATGTTATCTGTGGCTTGCAGAACCTATTTTACTAATTCTACAATATTAGCTAGCTATATTATGTACTAACTTGAAAACTAAGTAACAGTTGAGAGAATTTACAAATATGGTTTAATGATTTGACACTTGATGTACATTAGTGTAATGTTATCATGTCTTGAGCAGCCTTTTACCTTTTTGATATTTATCGATAGTTTAATTTGTCTTCTAATTATTTAAAGGTGTTCAAAATGCTTGAGATCCCATCAGATCAAGTCACTGCATGCTCAGCTGCCTTTGCTCTAGAACGACTCTGTCAGCTCCAGAATGCCACATATGAAGACATTGATTCCTTCGTTACAACAGCTGTCCTCAATGAACTTTGCGACACAGTTGTTAAGGACATACATTCATTGAAGAATGTCGAGTTAATCAATTTAGTAAAATGCCACCTGAAATCTGGGAATTTTTCTGAAATCCATTCAACACTAATTGACGAGGAAACGGAGAAGAGACTTGGAGATAAAATGTTTGGTATCACTGAAGTTTGTTCACTAATTGATACACTGATGACCCATCCCAAAGGGGATAAAGAAATAGCTGATAATGCTTTGATTCATATAGGGAATCGAACAAAGGAGATAGATGAGACTAACATAGCAGATGTATATAAAGCATTGTCGAAAGTGTCCCCTTTGAAGAAATATATGTCAAAACTATTAGTGAAACAGTTGCTGCTCTGCTGGTGGAAAATATCCCCCAAAGATATGACATCTATTGTCTCAAATCTCACACAAATGAAATATTGCGCAGGAAGCGAACTAGTTATGGTAGGAAAGTGGGTGCTCTTGAATATACATAACATTAAGCAAAATGAAATGACTTACTTTGTGGCAGCATATCGCCATTTTAAAATGGGAAATGCAAACTTCATGAGAGCCTTGGAGCGATACATCCCAGCAAAAATTACATCATTGGACAGCACATTAATCGCTCTAACAATGGATTATTGTAAGGAATGCAGATATGTGTCTCCAAAAATATTCAACTGTATTTCTTCCCACTTTGTGCAATATTCTCATCGCTTCAGTGTTGACCAGATGGCAATGTTACTCTACCCATATGGCTACCTGAATTACCTTCCTCCCAATGCAAATGAACTATTCCAAAAGATTGAAGAGAGGCTCAACGGAGAATTTAACCAGTTCTCTCCAGAGAGCATCGTTGAACTTTTGTGTTCATTTGCTTTCTCTGGGCGCTATGCAATCAACTTTGTTAGACAAGTGTTCACTCCACACTTTGTGGCACAATTACACAGTAAGTACAAATACATGCTGCATTGATTATTATCTGTCAAATTAAAATCTTAAATGAAGGTCTCATATACATTTAGGGTCTGATTATTTCTAGCAAGCTGGCTAGTTTCCAGTGTTCTGCCGAGAATTTCTTTCTCAAAATATGCTCAATTCCAATGTTGTGTTAAAATACTGAGGAGTTTTTATATATTCTACAAGATTATGTTCAGATAATGGAATCACAATCAAGTTAACTTATCAAAACAAAGCAAACTTGCAATTCTGCATTATCTGTATTTGAGAAGTACAGTAGTATTTCAATGCCAAAACAGATCTATAATTTAAAGTCTAATGCACTTGCAGGAATCTCTGACAAGAAGACACGCTTACATGCATTTCGGTCTCTAGACTTATTCCAGTCAGCTGTGCTACTAGAAGCACACAAAGTTCGCCTCCCTATCCTAGTCCTTGATGCAACAAAGAAACTGCCATATTTGGAAGGTATATGTAACTTCTTTTTAATAATTTATGTTTAATGCATTGGCTAATTTATATTTCATTTATATTAGCCAATGAACAAAATATTGAAACCTGAAATTTTCTTTTTCCCACCATTTCAAAAGTTGATAAAAAAAATCGTCTCTCCAGTCTCAGTTACAGAATGTGTTAAATAAGAAGGTTAATTATTAAAGAAATGTACATCTTACTGTATTTTACTTTTTGGAGAAGGATATGAAACTTCTATGCTCTTCTTTTCCCAAATTTGCAATATAACCAGGGCTGTACCCAGGGGGGTTAAGGTGGTTTGAGTGAAAAATTCTTTCAAAATCATGCAGTATTTCACCATTCTGAGCACTTTTGAAGTGATTTTGGCCATTTTTGGAGCAAAGTTTTCAGGTCAACCCCCTTGGAAATTTTTAATAAAAAGTGAACCCCCTTTGGCAAATCCTGGCAACGGTCTTAACAACTATGTTGAACAAAACATATTTTCTGTCAAAAATAGATGCAATGAATGAATATGCTAGAATAAGAATGTTCTTAAATAAATTGGCATCTCACTATAGAATAGATTGTATTGATCAATACGAATAGGTTTATTGTTCAATAAGATAATGCTTAATAGTGGGCTGACATTGAATTATATTTAGATATGATTATTTTTAGGTCAATGATAATATCTTTTCCAGCTTCATACTACCAGAACTGTTGTAGAGAGATTGCAGCTGACCTCAGAAAGTTACTTGGAGAGGACAATTTTGCATGGTGGTCATTTGTCAACAAGGCAAGACAGCACATAGGTACCTAGATAGAATTACAATGATTAGTGACACTTGAAATGAACTTGACATTATAAAAGTAATAACAATGTTAGGAAGAATGAAATTTCATAGCTGATTCAGCTGCCTTCAAATCAGCATAATTTAGTAATTGTTAATACTGGCTGTACTTTAATCTTTTTTTTCAGATTTTGAGATTAAACTTGATAATAACAAGTACCCAATGCACAAAACTACCCCATCCGAACAGATAGATCAAAAGTAAGTAAACATTTGATATGGGTTACAAGAAAACTTATTGATAATATTAAAGGGGCAACAAGGCCTGTAGAGAGAAAAAAGGAAAATTTTAACTTTTTCTGAGCTATCAAGGCAACATTTGGCTTAACATCTTCTTTGACATACCTATTTTCTTAAAATGTATGGATAACCTATCAATTTCAGCATTAAGAAGTGTAAATTCAGTTCAAAGCTTGAAAAAGGGGAAATCCGCTTTTTCATTTTTAAGATCCATCATGTTTCAAGAGGAATATCAGCTGAAATAATGTTTATCTAGGGGGTTTCTTTGTAGATAATAAAAATAGATGTAAGTCTTGATGAAATATCCAAACCTAGATATTTTTGACACTGGTCCGTGATCATTGAATGGCTCCTCTGCACTAATTGTTGCACCTTTAACCATATTACCAATATTGTCGCTGCTGGTTTCATGAAATTAGCAAGAGACTGGATGTCTGTGAAAGGAATATAAAAGAAAACAAGCAACAAGTAAAATATCACAATTGAAGAGGAAAATGTCTGCCTTGTTTTATAAATTACCAAACATGACAAAACCCTGATTAGATCCTTTAGATGCTTTTACATTTGTAAGATTTAAGTCCTTTAAGGCTGATTTGAGACAGATACTATAATGGACAATTATAATCATCCATTTCATCCATTCATTGAATTAGAGGATGAACTTGGGAACATACAAAATTTCAACTATCAAGTGTATAAGTCCCAACAAGACAAGCTATCTCTTTTTGTAAATGGTGATCGACTCTTACCATTTAGAATAAATTAATGTATTTTAAATCTCAGTGCACAATTCTTTGAGAAATGTTTTAATGTTTAGTCACCTTATCCATCACCCACTTGTTTCTTTTAAACTAGTTTTCTTATAAACCTGTGACCATATATACGTATTCAGATGTACTTAAATGCGGCTATTAATGTTTTAATACACAGCCGCTATTTGTATTTGTATTTTGAAATGATAAATTTTAATGAATAAAACTGAATAAAAAAAATCCATTTTTGACACATTGTGAGGTATATTATTTTACTACTGCTGTCACTTATGATTGTAAATAACAGAATTTTAAAAGAAACACTTGATAATTATATTTTAATGTGTCCATGTAGGATAGCTGTGATTGTACAAGTGCCGGACTACTACTGTGTGAATAGCAAGGAACTTCTAGGAGAACATGCTATGAAGTTGAGGCATCTAAAAAAACTGGGATACAAAGTTATGGAAGTGAGAATTGGTTGAATTTCTTCTCTAGTATAAATATTGAGTGTCGCTGTTTTCTGATATCGATATTGTCCCGTCCCTCAGGACTTCGGTCTCGGATGGGATGAGAAGGGACAACCCCCCTGTACCAAATATTTCAGTCCATGCTCAGGATATTATAATTATCCTGTAAATGACCCTAAAACTTCCCAAATGCACGATAAATATCATCTCGACTTACAATTTTCAGCTGATATAAGCTACCTTGCATTTGCATGACTGGCTAAACCTAAAATCTTTCAATAGTACTCAGTCATTAAACCAATGTTTTGTTTTTCTAGGGCACACATCAGGCATGATTTATTGGTTATGTTCTTCCCTTCCCGAATGTCCCGTCCCAAATTGGAGAATTCCCGTTCCTTCTCATCCGCAAATATTTTTGTCCTGTGACATTCCCAATAAATATACAAATCTTGGCAGTTGTGGTAAAACATGATTTTTTGCCATGAAAAGAAAATGTTTTGCAAACTTCCAAAATTCAAATCAAAATTCCTCAAAATTAAACCACCTCCTACCACTTCAAAACATGATTAAGTTTTCCTAAACAATGTTTGACATATTGGCTCACATATGATTCACTTTTATGATTCAATTTTACATTTACAGTTACTTGAATTTAAGTGTTCATTTGGTTTAGGTGTGTGAGGGCACTGACTGGTTTGTTGCAGTTCTGAATTCAGAAATTCAGCAATTCAGCTGATTCAAAATGACTGTTTGATTATTTTATCTACTTCAGATCTCCATGGTTGACTACAAAGGTGCCAGCGACCAGGAACAGATGCTCATTGATGTCTTACATGGTCATGTGAATATTCCAACACATAGGAGTAGGACAGGTCTTTCTGATGATACATGAAGGGGCTCTCTAATGATACTTGATATGCTACAGAGCCATATAAAGACTGCCCAGGTCTTTCCAATGATATATGAAACACAATGGAAGCAGCATAGCATAGATCCTTACCTTACACAAAGCATTAAATTAAATGTGCCAGTTCTGATGATGATTGACAATTGACACGATATTTATGTGAATATCTTATTAAGATGTAGAACATATTTTTCTGATTATACACAATTAAATGGAAACAGTGGTGCTGGAACAGTATGCCTATGGACCCAGATGGGAAAATCCAAATACAAATGTCTCTGATGATGCAAGTAGCACTTATAGTATGATGTTATTACATAGACATATGAAAATACAATCATGATTTCACTTGAAACATTATTTAATACATGTAGTCACAAATCCTGTTTAGCAATTAGCAATATAATATACTTCTTGATTTGAGATTTCCAGGTGTGAACAGTATATACATATCTTTTATTGACTCTTCAGATGTCATGGCATGACATATTAGTCAGTACTATATCTAGTACACCTTCCTCAAAGTGTGATTGTTATCAACTTACTAAAATGCCTATTTATTTCATAATGTGCAGGATTGTATATTTGTTGCTTTCAAAAATTGATTTATCTATTTTGAAACCGAGAGCCTCGATGCCTTGAAAAGTGATATGGTTGGTGAAGATCTCGTCTCGGGTATTGTAAAGTGATCTGGTTGGTGAAGATCTGGTCTCGGGTATTGTAAAGTGATCTGGTTGGTGAAGATCTGGTCTCGGGTATTGTAAAGTGATCTGGTTGGTGAAGATCTGGTCTCGGGTATTGTAAAGTGATCTGGTTGGTGACGATCTGGTCTCGGGTATTGTAAAGTGATCTGGTTGGTGAAGATCTGGTCTCGGGTATTGTAAAGTAATCTGGTTGGTGAAGATCTGGTCTCGGGTATTGTAAAGTGATCTGGTTGGTGAAGATCTGGTCTCGGGTATTGTAAAGTGATCTGGTTGGTGAAGATCTGGTCTCGGGTATTGTAAAGTGATCTGGTTGGTGAAGATCTGGTCTCGGGTATTGTAAAGTGATCTGGTTGGTGAAGATCTGGTCTCGGGTATTGTAAAGTGATCTGGTTGGTGAAGATCTGGTCTCGGGTATTGTAAAGTGATCTGGTTGGTGAAGATCTGGTCTCGGGTATTGTAAAGTAATCTGGTTGGTGAAGATCTGGTCTCGGGTATTGTAAAGTGATATGGTTGGTGAAGATCTGGTCTCGGGTATTGTAAAGTGATCTGGTTGGTGAAGATCTGGTCTCGGGTATTGTAAAGTGATCTGGTTGGTGAAGATCTGGTCTCGGGCATTCCTTCCATGTCACTTACAGTCACATCTTTTAAGGAAATCTGGGCAAAAATATTGGTTTAATTTGTGTTCATCATTTCCATCTAAATGATTACTGGGCTAGATCAAACATAGTTATTATAAGTGATATAAGGCTGTGATTTCCAATGATGTTAACTCATTGAACATAAAGGTTCCATCTAATGCATTTCAACAGTTCAATATTTCTCAAGTTTGAATCAGTGGAATATGAAGAATCTATTTCCTAGTTATTTGCATATCACAAAATGTATGACACTGACAGAAGTCTGCAAATTTCATATCTTAATTTATTGTGCAACCATATGGAATTTTAATTGACCATACTTTGTACTTTTTTTAAAAATGTACTTATCAATAAAGTAAACAAGGCATTAACATGATGAAATGTCACCACCTTATTTGTCATAATATTATGAGTTCAATCTGTCCGATTTGAATTTCTGAGAACTTGTAGATGGTTTTGGAGCAATTTGAAGCAAGTTGAAAAAGACCTTTTTGACCCTGAGAAGGTCATTGAAGGTGAAATCTCAAATCTAAAGTCAGATTTAAACTTCTGAGAACTTGTAGATGATTTTGAAATAAAAATTGGTAAATTTGAAGCAAGATTAAAAAAGACTTTTTGACCTTGAGAAGGGTATTGAAGGTCAAATTTCAATTTGAAGCAAGTTTTAGGAGTTTGTTACAGAAGCCAACTGCCAAACACCAACCGCCGTCAAAAAAATGGAAACCATAACAATATGTCACCACTTTTTGGTGGTGACATAATTACAGAAAATTACAGTTTTCATTCTGTAGCTTCTATATTAGCCAGTGTACATGTATACTTTTTGTTAGAAGGGATTTATCTAACATTACTATCTTATGTTGCTATTTATTTAAAAATGTGTTGTGACTGTTGTCAATATATTTTGAAAAATTGTAAAACAGAAATGTCTGGAATAAACACATTTTTGTAATCAGATTGATATTCTGCTGTTGAAGAAATCTTGGCTCACTTGGTAACACTTCTGATTAATTGATATTATATTGTGCTCACTGCAGACTTACATTGCACTAGGAACTGTGCAAATTATTCAGATTTGTGTATATCCTTTTAGTATGGCAACTGTCAATACCAGTTAGTTATCAAGTAATGATTACCGTAAGCATTGTATTATAGGATGGGTTGAGAAGTTTAGTCAAGCACATACAATAACACTGCATTTTTCTATGAGGACCGATGTTTAAAACAATATCCTCAGGTAAACACTACAATAATTCAAAAATCAAAAATGTTGCTTTAACAATAATCTTTAATTTCGTTTATTTAATAAATAATACAATATGACCTTTATGCTAAAATCCAACAGAATTTAGGAACAATGAAATTTGGATTTTTAATAGAAGTACTAATAACTAGATTGGTAAATTGAACAAAGTTCAATTTAAGACTCCAGATTGATTTACTTGAGTAAAGAGCTGAGTAAGTAACTGAGTAGTAAGCTGAGTAAGTAGACGATTGAGTAATTGAGTAAGTAGCTGAGTAAGCAGCTGAGTAGGTAGCTGAGTACGTAGCTGAGCAAGTAGCTGAGTAGGTAGCTGAGAAGTAGGTAGCTAAGTAGGTAGCCGAGTAGGTATGTAGCCGAGTAGGTAAGTAGGAATTTTTGAAAGTATATTTGATGGATCTGCATTATGGATACTGGCAAATGTGAATTTTAAAATGGCTTAGAATCTGAAGCGGGAGTCGGATTGAAAGTTGATTCGCAGATTTGAATTCCTGAGAAAATTCTACCCTTAATTCATAACTCATAAGTTAAATTTGGAGAACTTTTTATTTTGACCTACTTTTCGGACACCATATCTCAAAAGTGGCTCAAAATACTTTCTGACGGCAAAAGGCTAACACTATAAGCACACTCTTTGCTACCTGTATACAAAATTTTGAAACAAATCATTTAAGTGTAGTGTCAGAATCGTAAAAATTAGGAAAAACTATGAATTTGACCTAGATTTTGACCTTAAGATTTTGGTGTCCAAATTTTGAAGCTAAGTAGCTTTTGAGGTACCCTTCTTTTATTGGAATTCATTATGTTAAGCTGCACTCAGTCTATATCTCATATTTTACAATTCAAAAAAGTCTTTTTTCCCATTGACTTAACATGTGGCACCAAATTTAGCGATTTTTGAGCTTTCAAAACGCCATAACTTCCGAACGGGAAGTTGGATCGAAATTTTGTTTGCAGATCCGGATTCCTGACAAAATTCTACACCTAATTCATAATTCATACATTGAATTTGGAGAACTTCTTGTTTTGACCTACTTTCCAGACGCCATATTTCAAAATCAGTAAGAGTGATCAAAAAACGGATGGCACACTTATAAAAGGGCTGTTTATAAGCTACATGATGAAAAAAAGATGAAGATGTTTCGATAAATAACGACGAAGATAATTGATAGAATATTGAAAATGTAAGATTTGACCCAGTTCTAGGATAGAATAGGATATAGAATAGGAAGGAAGGATAGGATAGGAAGGAAAGGATAGAAAGGAAAGATAGATAGGAAGGATATGATCAGACAGGATAGGAAGGAAGGATGGATGATTTTTTCTATATTTTCTTTGCTACTCTTGACTTTCTATCAGGATATCATCAGATCGATTTTTCTCGAAAATTTCAAAACGCCATAACTTTCGAACCGGAAGTCGGATCGAAATTTGGTTTGCAGATTCAGATTCCTGGGAAAATTCTACACTTATTTCATAGCTCATATGTTAAATTTGGTTAACTTTTTAGTTTGACCTACTTTCCGGACGCCATATCTCAAAATCGGTAAGAGTAATCAAAAAACGGTTGGCACACTCTCGATTTGTTTTTTCTAAGCTACATGATGAAAAAAAGAGGAAGGAGTAACGACAAACAACAACGAAGATAATTGACAGAATGTTGATTTGACCTAAATTTGACCTAGTTCTTGACCTTTGACCTAGATAAAAATTTGACCTAATTTCCCATCATCCCAGATACATTCCCTAGTTGATCATGTAAGTAGCTTAAAGTAAGTTCTTCTAGTTGGTGAGAAATCTTGTAAGGAGGAAGAGGAAGAAAGAAGAATAATAACTAGATTTGTGAAATTGAACAAGTTCAATTTAAGACTCCAGATTTATTTGACCTAGATAGATCAGTAAAGAGCTGAGTAAGTAACTGAGTACTTAGCTGAGTAAGTACCTTAGTAGTAGTTGAGTAAGTAGCTGAGTAAGTAACTGAGTAAAAAGCTGAGTAGGTAGCTGAGTAATTAGTACCTGAGTTAGTAGCTGAGTAAGTTGCTAAGTAAGTAATAACTAATTAAGTAATTGAGTAAGCAGTCAAATAAGTAGCTGAGTAGGTAGAGAGGTAAAGTAGGGTATGCAGGAATTTTTGAAAGTATATTTGATCAATCTGCATCGTGAATACTGGCAAGTGCGAATTTCAAACTTCAAAATGGCGTAGAATCTAAACCGGGGGTCGGATTGCAATTCCTGAGGAAATTCTACCCCTAATTCATAACTCATACTTTAAAATTGGAGATTTTTTTATTTTGACCTACATTTCGGACACCATATCTCAAAAGTGGGTCAAAAAACTTATTGACGGCAAAATGTTACATTATAAGCACACTCTTTGCTACGAGGTTACAAAATTTCGGAGAATATCATTGAAGTGTAGTGTCAGAATCGCAAAATAAAATAAAAACTATGAATTTGACCTAGATTTTTTAAACTAGGTATTTTGGTGTCCAAACTTTGAAGGAAAGTAGGTTTTGAGGTCCCCTTCTTCTATGGGCTTTCATTATGTTTAGCTGTACTCATTCTATATCTCGTATTTTTACACTTCAAAAAATTATTCGGTCCCATTGATTTAACATGGGGCACCAAATTTAGCGATTTTTGAGATCTCAAAACACCATAACTTCAGAACAAGTAGTCGGATCGAAATTTGGTTTCCAGATCTAGATTTCTGAGAAAATTCTACCCTTAATTCATAACTCATACGTTAAATTTGGAAAACTTTTTACTTTGGCCTACCTTTTGGACACCATATCTCAAAAGTGGGTCAAAATACTTTCTGACGGCAAAACGCTAACACTATTAGCATACTCTTTGCTACCTGTATACAAAATTTTAAATCAAATCATTTAAATATAGTGTCAGAATCGCAAAAATAAGGGAAAACTATAAATTTGACCTAGATTTTGACCTAGGCATTTTGGTGTCCAAATTTTGGAGCTAAGTAGCCTTCGAGGTCCCCTTCTTTAATAGGCTTTCATTAAATTAAGTTGTACTCAGTCTATATCTTGTATTTTACACTTCAAAAAAATCTTTTTTCCCATTGCCATAACATGGGGCACCAAATTTAGCGATTTTTGAGCTATCAAAACGACATAAATTCCAAACCAAAAGCCGGATTGAAATTTGGTTTGCAGATTTGGATTCCTGAGAAAATTCTACCCTTAATTCATAACTCATACGTTAAATTTGGAGAACTTTTTAGTTTGACCTACTTTTCGGACACCATATCTCAAAAGTGGGTCAAAATACTTCCTGACGGCAAAAGGCTAACACTATTAGCACACTCTTGGCTACATGTACACAAATTTTCGAAGAATATAATTAATCTGTAGTGTCAGAATCGCAAAAATAAGGAAAAACTTTGAATTTGACCTAGATTTTGACCTAGGCATTTTGGTGTCCAATTTTTTATGAAAAGAAGGTCTTGTGGTCCCTTTCTTTTATGGGCTTCCATTATGTTTAGCTGTGCTTAGTCTATATCTCGTATTTTACACTTCAAAAAAATATTTTTTCCCATTGAATTAACATGGGGCACCAAATTAAGCGATTTTTGAATTTTCAAAACGCCATAACTTCTGAACCGGAAGTCAGATCGAAATTTGGTTTTCAGATTCGGAATCCTGAGAAAATTTCCCATAAGACTGATATCCTGGACATTGGATTTGGTGAAATTCTTTTTGGACCTCGTTTTCGGACACTGATATCTCGAAATCGGTTTGAGATACCAAAAAACTAAATCGACCCTAGGTTTTCTACTTTTTTATGAGGAACACAATGAAAAAAACCAGGATCAAAAATATTGAAGGACGACCGAGATAATGGGAAAAAGTGACAAAGTACTGGATTTGACCTAGTTCTTGACCTTTGACCTAGATAAAAATTTGACCTATTTTCCCATCATCCCAGATACATTCCCTAGTTGATCATGTAAGCAGCTTAAAGTTAGCTCTTCTAGTTGGTGAGAAATCTTGTAAGGAGGAAGAGGAAGAAAGAATAACTAGACATGTAAATTGAACAAGTTCAATTTAAGACTCCAGATTAAATACTTTTTTTAAGCTGAGTCATCCAAATACTTGTAAGCTGAGTCATTCAGAATAAGCTGAGTCAGCTGGAATATAGACATTTAGACAACTCTTAAGAATGTTATCTTCGACTCCATTGGCTTAACATGGGGATATCATCATATCGACTTTTCGAGACTTCAAACCGCTATAACTATCTAATCAGAAGTTGGATCGAAATTCGGTTTAAAGATTCTGATTCCTGAGAAAATTCTACCCTTAATTCATAACTCATACGTTAAATTTGGAGAAACTTTCATGTTGACCTACTTTTCGGACACTATATCTCAAAAGTGGGTCAAAATACTTTCTGACGGCAAAAGGCTAACACTATTAGCACACTCTTTGCTACATGTATACAAAATTTTGAAGCAAATAATTAAAGTGTAGTGTCAGAATCGCAAAAATAAGTTAAAACTATAAATTTGAACCAGATTTTGACCTAGGCATTTTGGTGACCAAATTGTGAAGCTAGCTAGCTTTTGAGGTCCCTTCCTTTGATAGGCTTTCATTATGTGAAGCTGTACTCAGTCTTTATCTCGTATTTTACACTTCAAAAAAATCTTTTTTCCCATTGCCATAACATGGGGCACCAAATTTAGCGATTTTTGAGCTTTCAAAACGACATAAATTCCAAACCAAAAGTCGGATTGAAATTTGGTTTGCAGATTTGGATTCCTGAGAAAATTCTACCCTCAATTCATAACTCATACGTTAAATTCGGAGAACTTTTTAGTTTGACCTACTTTTCGGACACCATATCTCAAAAGTGGGTCAAAATACTTTCTGACGGCAAAAGGCTTACACTATTAGCACACTTTTGGCTACCTGTATACAAAATTTTGAAGAAAATTATTAAAGTGTAGTGTCGGAATCGTAAAAATAAGGAAAAACAATAAATTTGACCTAGATTTTGACCTAGGCATTTTGATGTCCAAATTTTGAAGCTAGGTAGCTTTTGAGGCCCCCTTCTTTTATGGGCATTCATTATGTTAAGCTGTACTCAGTCTATATCTTGTATTTTACACTTCGAAAAAGTCTTTTTTCCCATTGGCTTAACATGGGCACCAAATTTAGCAATTTCGAAACGCTATAGCTTCCGAACCGGAAGTCAGATCGAAATTTAGTTTGCAGATTTGGATTCCTGAGGAAATTTTACACTTATTTCATAACTCATACGTTGAAATTGGAGAACTTTTCGTTTGACCTACTTTCCGGACGCAATATCTCAAAATCGGTAAAAGTAATCAAAAAACTGATTACTCACAGTCGAATCGTCTTTTTCTTGGCTACACGTTAAAAAAAAATTTTTGAAAAAATATTGAAAAATGACAGAGATAATTGACAAAATGATAATTTGACCTAGATTTTGACCTTTGACCTAGATAAAAGTTTGACCTAATTTCCCAGAAACTAGGTCCCATTACCTATTTAACCATGTAAGCAGATTTCAGAAAGTCCCTCTAGTTGCTGAGAAAACGCGGAAAGAAAGAATAATAATAAGAAAACTGGCAAAAGCAATAGACTCCAGATTTTCAATCTGGAGTCTAATAATAAGAAAACTGGCAAAAGCAATAGACTCCAGATTTTCATCTGGAGTCTAATAAAGAAAACTGGCAAAAGCAATAGACTCCAGATTTTCATCTGGAGTCTAATAAGAAAACTGGCAAAAGCAATAGACTCCAGATTTTCATCTGGAGTCTAATTACAATAGTGTCTCAGATTGATACTACAATAATGAGTCTACTCAGAGTTATATTTTAATAGATATCTTGTCGATTTGACTCAACCACTACTGCCATCTATTTATCCATCTTTACAGAAAGCCTTCATACAACCATTTATACACTGACGGTGAGAGGTGATATGGAAACACACTGAAAAAACAAAACTTTCATTCATTGTATTTACTTTTATATTAATCAATAGTAAAAATACCATAAAATGTACAAAGAGTGAAAAATGATGCACCTTTCGAGTGTAAATAAACTTTTAGTATCTATGCTTATCCTGCTAAGGAGGGCTAATGGCTATACCTATATGTACATACATCAGCATAAAAGGCTCGGTGTTAAAGGTCTAAGTGAATCAGTCATTCTACGCATAATATTAAGATTAAACTGAAGATGCCATTTGAAAGAATGAATGTGACTTAATGCTTCGGCCAACTAAAGTCTTACATGATAAAAAATCCACATGGCAAGACTTGGCTGCAAGAAAGCAAAATTTATTTTAAAAACAACAACTTTATTTTCCGCCTCAAAGAAAGAATATTTTTTAAGTTGTGAATGGTTTAGAATATACACACCTACCCCATGGTGGCCAGTGGCCACTACATGATGCATGTAATAGCCAAGAAATGTACAGTTCATGTATATGTAAATAAAGTCTAAAGCTGACTGGTGGTATTTTTTGCATTGTGGCCTAATCTGTGACATTATGTGCTACTTGGTTATATTTTGTCTACATTCATATTCAAGTACTTCATAAATACACATTATTTTTTGATATACCAGAAATTAGATCTCAAATAAACCTTTCAGGTTTGTAACACTAAATGGGTCCCTATATATACAACAATATGTGACCACTTCCATCTTACATTAAATACCTAAAGACATGAAAGAGGAAAACTTTATTTATATTGAAGCACCCGGGGGGGGGGGGGGTATTATGTAATACTGTATATTATGTTAGATCAGATGAAAAATATGAGATTGCTTGAAATATACTATATGATTCTCAGATCTGATATCACAGTTATCTTCTTCATGGCTTTGAATTGACTGTTTGGATTATCTTGTACTTCAAGAAATCAAGACATGGGCAAAAACAAATTATTTTTACTGGTTCCAGCGATTCAAATATTTTCAACAGTTATTTAGGCTGTTCAATCTTCCTTTTATACTTAGTTTTCCCCTTTAAGTCTAATGCTTACCATATGTTAAATTAAAGTACTATGGTACTTTTCCAAAATTACAAGACTATAGCACATAGCTTGAATAAATAAAAATGGCGTCCCATTCAATGTATCACAGTTGGAATTGCCTATTTCCCCTATTCTGTATACATTGTTCACTATCCTATTCTACACAGTCTGTATCCATCAGTCTACCTTGATCTCCCAACAAGGCTCAATATGAAAAGAAATAGGTTAACAATGTCCAGGTAAAGATTAAGGGCAGCAAAGATGTATTCCTCAGGGCTAATTGAGTACTGGTGTTTTCCTCCCAGCATGATCTGCGTATCAAAGACTAGGTACTGAAACAATAAAAATACATCAGAAACAAGTCAAATTCTTTACTTCAGAGAATATTTTTAATTTATTGAGACTTTCGACTAATATCCCTTAGTCTTTTTCAAAATATAACAGCATGTATACATTTATGTGACGTCATAAACAGACAATGGAAAATTTAATTATGTAACAAATGACCTAGTAACCTAAAAAATAACAACAACAAAAAACATAGATACGAAAAAACGAATGACCTAATAATAACCTTAAGATAAATATATCATCGTTATGGTAACAATTAAACTCAAATATTACTATTGCATACTTTGCTATACCATTCTTAATTTACAATATTTTATGATACAAATTGTCCAACTGATACCCATTATCTCTGTTCATTTTAGGTTGCATTGTTTTAATATGAATTGCTTCCTTAACCCTACGTTTAAGATCATGACTCTCATTATCAATGATTTTTACATTGTTCCAGTTTATATTATGATCATATTCCATGGAATGTTCAATAACCGCAGAAGCAAGACCTCCAGTCGACAGTAATGTGGGTCTACGATGTTCTCTGATTCTAGTAACTAGTTCCCGCTTTGTTTCACCTACATAAGTGGCAATACAGTCTTTACAATCAATTTTGTAAATTACACCGGACTTCTTTTGATCATTAGTTTTGTCCTTTAAATGCACCAACTGTTTCTTGATAGTATTCTGCGATAAGAAACATACTCGGACACGATGCCTTGTAAAGACTGTATTGCCACTTATGTAGGTGAAACAAAGCGGGAACTAGTTACTAGAATCAGAGAACATCGTAGACCCACATTACTGTCGACTGGAGGTCTTGCTTCTGCGGTTATTGAACATTCCATGGAATATGATCATAATATAAACTGGAACAATGTAAAAATCATTGATAATGAGAGTCATGATCTTAAACGTAGGGTTAAGGAAGCAATTCATATTAAAACAATGCAACCTAAAATGAACAGAGATAATGGGTATCAGTTGGACAATTTGTATCATAAAATATTGTAAATTAAGAATGGTATAGCAAAGTATGCAATAGTAATATTTGAGTTTAATTGTTACCATAACGATGATATATTTATCTTAAGGTTATTATTAGGTCATTCGTTTTTTCGTATCTATGTTTTTTGTTGTTGTTATTTTTTAGGTTACTAGGTCATTTGTTACATAATTAAATTTTCCATTGTCTGTTTATGACGTCACATAAATGTATACATGCTGTTATATTTTGAAAAAGACTAAGGGATATTAGTCGAAAGTCTCAATAAATTAAAAATATTCTCTGAAGTAAAGAATTTGACTTGTTTCTGATATATTAACCAGAGAGATGAACTTACATAGAAATAAAAATACACATTTACAAACTTATTTCTTCTTCATGATGTAACTATGGCAATAGCATAAAACATAACGATTGAAATCACCATATTTTATTTGAAAATCATTGTCAATGTACATATTGCATGTATTGTGGAACATTTGAGTGATGTGATGACATACTAAATAATCAAGATTAATGTCATTTTTCAAAGATTGCCCAATGAACATTCTTTTGTAATACTAACACTTTCAAAATAACTTTCAACAGCAATGACAGAAAAACAGCAACTCCACAGTGTAGCAAATTCTACCGAACAAAACATGTTTTGATAAATAGCGACCATAAATTTTAGCCAAATCCATCCACTGGTATTTGTGTTGTCAAAGATAATGTTTTTATGAAACATGGTTACCATTTTGAAATTCAGCTATCATCTTTTAAATTTCTTTTTAAGCAGAGCTCCTATGTCCCTAGGCATCAGCATATAAAATTTAATCCAAATCCCTCAACTGGTACTTGAGTAATCAAGGATTACATGTTTAATGAAAAATGGTGATTTCGATAAATAGCAGCCACCTTGAAAATTTCTTCTCAAGCAGAGCTCCTTTAGCTTTAGCTCCGTCTACTGGTATTTGAGTTATCAAACATTAGCTTTTTTATGAAAATGGCTGCCATTTTGAAATTCAGCTGATGCCTTTGAAATTTCTTCTGAAGCAGATCTCATTTGTCTTTAGGCATCAGCATATAGAATTTGAGACAATCTGTCAACTGGTATTTGAGTTATCAAAGGTTACATTCTTTTACGAAAAATGGTGGCCATTTTGAAATTTAGCTGCCATCTTAAAAATCCCTTCTCAAGCAGAGCCCCTATGTCCCTAGGTATCAGCATGTAAAATTTGAACCAAATCCATTCAATGGTATTTGAGTTATCAAAGATAATGTTTTTTTATTAAAAATGGAGGCCATTTTGAAATATAGCAGCCATCTTGAAAATATCTTCTTGAGCAAGGCTCCTTTGAACCCAGGCAATAGCATATAAAATTTGAACCAAATCCATCCACTAGTATTTGAGTTATCAAAGATTATATCTATTCCGAAAAATGGCTGCCATTTTTAATTAAGCGGCCATATTGAAAATTCTTTCTTGAGCAGAGGTCCTACCCCCATAAGGCATAAAATTTGAATCAAATACGTCAACCGGTATTCGAGTTATTGCCTGGACAGACAGACAAACGGACGGACGGACGGCTTTCCTATATCCCCCTCGAACCTCGTTCGGTGGGATAATAATGGAAATTTATTATAAGGGATAATCTGGTATGATTTTAGTGAGGAATTCTTCAGTTGTAATTCACAAAATAAAAACATTTACAATACTAAATTCATGTACACAAACTCACCATTCCAAAGACCAGAGCTCCTAAACATGCATATGCAATGTTGGCCCACTGAAACAAACAAACCAAAAAGTGTTCAAGTTGTCTGTTTTCAAGCAACATGAATTCCTCTTATGAAGAATATTGTTTCAATAAATGCTACAAAGTCACACTTTAAATGATGCAAGTGAGACTGTTGAACCGATATCATTCTATAACTTCTCAAATCTGAAATAATTTTATAGAGCCTGGTGTTATATATTTTCTAAACAGAACTTCAGACATTTCAAAAGTTTTGCAATGTTTCCATCAAGAGCTCTTTATTTTACAATTACAAATTAAATCACTAAAAATGTATTTATATGTAATGGCTGAAAGATATTTTTATAATTTTGAGTCCAAGAGTGACTAACACTTGTCTCCCCGAAAAATCAATTTGTGCAACAATATTAGATCGGCTAACTATTATATGTATTAATCTAAGGGAATATTACCTGGCTCCTTATGATGGCACAGAGCAAGCCAAAGCAAAACAGAACTAGAAGTAGTACCAGAAGACCACCTCCACACATTGTAAAGTCATACTGGAATTTACAAATTAAAAAAGGAAATAATTTGAATATAAGTTTTAAGTATTTAAAATATGCCCTTAAGTCAACATGTGATGATCACATGATTTGTAAACATTCCCTCAAAAGAAAGTTTCTTGTAACTTTTCATTGTTTTAATTTCTGAAACTTTGGCAGCTATTTATTTGGCAGATTTGGACTACATTCAATTTCTGAATTTTCATAATCCTCACATCAGTTCAGTTGTACAATTAATTAGTGTTGTCGCGATGTGCCATAATCGTACATCGATGCATCGGCAATTTTCAGTAGTAAACATCGATGCACATCATGATGTACATCGAGAAAAAGTCCGAGAAAAGTGCACTGAAATACCGAACGCTAATGCACTAAAATACCGAACATCCGGTACATCCGGAAACTTCTAGTAAGGGTGAAATGAAAGTAAAGTTTTTTTTAGATTAATGGTTCATTTCGACTAGCTAAAACAGTTTTAAAGCGAAAGAATATCAGAAAACATTGGAAAATGAAATAAGACATGAGAAAGGTAAGCGATTTGCGTCAAAATAAGATAAGATAGGGTGATTTTTAGCAAATTAATTTTTTTTAAAAACATCGATGTTTAGTTTCAGACATCGATGCATCGCCAGAATCAGCTTTGGCGATGTATATCGCGATGTATCGATTAATCGCGACAACACTACAATCAATCTTATCTTTTGACCCAGTTAAGCCCTTTGTACTGTAAATTACTGGTAAGAAATAAAAGCTTTTTATTTCTGAGAGTCAATACTATGGTTACATTTTGGGAAAAGAATTTTTCAATAACTTCACCACCATTTGAGAAAATATCATGGATCTTTTTAAACTATTATATTTGGAGTATACCATAGGAAGATCACAAAATCACAAGTAATTATGCTTGATATTGTGTCAAACATTGTTGGTCCTCTACATATAGATGTACAGTACCTCTGTTTGTAGCATCCATTTAGAGAACTCACCTTTGTCTGCATGGCAAAGATTGTCAATCCCAACACAATAACGGCAGTGATAACAGCTGCCCACATGACAGCATCAGCTTTGTAGCAACTGAAAATATAAAAGAATTGCTGTAGAATTGAGGTTGTTAAAGGCAACACATGCAATGTGGCATAAAAGAAGTACATGTACATGTAAAACCTGAGTTAGTGAACACATCTCTCTTGTGAACACCTATCAATAGTGAATGTTTTTTTAAACCTTTTTGTCCCATTGACTCCCATGTTAAAGTACAATCCTATAGTGAACACCTACCTACTGTGAACAGCAAACTCAATTGAATTATCCTGTCTCTAGTGAACATTGAATCAGATATAAGATTTGTTTTGGATTTTCTGGGATTGCCTTATCAGAGTTAATCAGTTTATGTTTATATTACCTGTCAAAAAATAATTAAAAGCTTTGTTTGGAGATAATCTGGGTAACTATTAGTATCTCGATCTGCTAAGTCCCAACTTAATCTTTTTCTCATCCCCATGAATTAAAAAAAAAGATTGGATTAAAATTAAAATGATTACCCTAATTGACTCTATCATGTACTTTAATTGATTCAATAAAGTCCTTTAACTGACTCAAATGTGTCAGAGATTCCACTAATTTGTAAGAATTACAGAGATTAAAATTTGACAATAAAAGGATTAACCATTCAAACAGTCAGTCCAAAATAAGTCAGTTTATATAATAAACACAACAAACACTTTTCGCTAGAGTGTCATGGGTTATCATGGGTAGAAAATACAAATTAAATTGATTATTCCTTCCTAGCCTATAATAACCTTTATATAATACGGCAAAATGTAGCGAAATCAAATCCTTGCCGTAGTAAACACCTCGGCAAAAAATGTTCACTATACACAGGTTTTACAATGTATAACCATAAGAGTAAACCAGGAATGAAAACCAGTGTAGTTACAAGCATTTACTAGAATATTTTATACCTCTACAAATTTTTGAAAACTATTATATGTACATGTATGTAAATTAATTTATTCAAGATATCCACTGGCAACAATGCAGAATCACCAATTTTAATAGGAACTGATATTAAAACTGGTTCAGTACATTACCTTGCAACAGCTCCCAGTAGCCAGCTTTCAAATAGTGTCTGAAATAGCAATAGTAAATGATGTCATGGTAATATATGGATAAAACTTAATAAAGTATACATTTATGTTTTAGTGTATATAATTAATCAATAAAAACATGACTTTTGTATGATGTCTAAATTCATGTAAATACAAATATTTGAACTGACAAATGAATCAATGTTACATGTCAACAATTTGGAAGTATCAAAATATGTAATGATGAAGTAACAAAACTTCTATAATGTTTAACATCAAACATGAAAAAGATGAAATTATTTTTTGACTGTCACTTACAAAGACCATGAGCATGATTAAATTCCATGGTGTTTTCCTCCTGAAGTCATTGCAGCATGCAAGAACTATGATGCACACAAACGTCCCAGCACTGAAATAGATTTTATAATAGATTGTTATTTTCTCATATGACGAACAAGATACAGCCATCTTTACCCCATGCAAGATATAAAGGTTCTTATATGAGTACCCGTGCAAGATCATCCCTTCATGATGAGCTTTAATAATTCTTCTTTATCGAGTCGCAGAAGAGAAACATTATCAAATCGAGTCAAGAATGGACGATATTGCACAGGTACGAGTACAAGCAAGTTTTTCTCATATGACTCTGTATTATGCCTTACTTTCACGTTTTCATGACAAAACTGGGTGAAAAATAGCTCAGATTAATGAAAATGGTCATTGGAATATGGTATTTCAATTTTCACACAATATTTGAGCACTTGCTACACTTTTAATCAACAATCAAATAAATCAATTAATATCAAGATGTATGCGGATACTGAGATTTTCTAAATGTATTTCTGAAAATTAAGTTCACACAAGCTATTTTATTCCTTGTTCTATCTATTCTATGGGACCAATTACAGGCACATTTGGGTCAATGATTTTTAATAAATCTGGTTGTATGTTGTTTAATAACTTAGTATAGACAATGATATGACTATGACTACAGTTATCATAATCCAACTTAAAATGACCCCAAATAATAAACATACATGTATTGTATTATCCAAGAGTGAAACCTGCAACAATAAGTGCATATGCATGTTGTAGGCAGTACACAATATATTATATTGAAGACATACTTACATGGCAACATACCACAATGCTGGATTGGCAGCTGAGAACTGTTGAACTGCTGGTCTGAAAGTACAGTAACATATTAGTCATACAGAACATATTAACTATGTACTCCATTATGATCTCACAGAAGATGACCTACATGTACTTCTTGATTCTGTATTATAAGATTAAGAAAATTATGACAATATTCCTATAATTGATTTGTTAATCTTGATTTGATTTTTTTAACTATTGAATAAAAAGAACCTCCTATGATTTACTCATGATATGATTGTTATCCACGAATGGATATTTCACTCTCTTTCACTCTTTCACTACGCTTGCTACTGCAGATATCAAGATCCATTTATGGATAAAATTACATTACTCATTGTTATGGATATCTTACAATGAAAACTAAAAAATGATCTTACACATATAAGAAGAAGCAGATGAATGCTATCGTCACAGACAACTGTACACAAAGGATGCCATAAACTTTCTTCAGGAATGCTGAAATATACAGATACATGTACTCGTGGGTATAGGTAATACCCGGGGGTTTCACTCCAATATACCTCTTAATACCTATGTGCCGCGCCAAAGATCCCCTTTTGAGCATTTTTTCCATGTCAATTTCCTCTCAAGATTGAAAGTTTCCATGTAAAATTACTTCCTCCCAGACTTATAAGAGGGAGTAAATTTCCTGAAATATTGGTAAATTAACTACAAAATCCACAAGACCTCGCCAACTGATTTTACCGATTTGTTTCCATTTTTTGTAGAAAAACTGATTTTTGACTTTAAAAGGCTCTCTCTTCGACAAATTTTCCATGTTTTTCCCTCTCAGATTGGCCAGGTTCCATGGTTTATGCCCTAAGCCAAAATTGCCCCTGCTGCACATACATGTACCTACACAAATTATTTAGTGAACCCCCTGGGGATGGATAACATATACTATTATTCCTGATATAATGGATTCTGCATATCTAAAAGAGGCTAGAATGGAAAGAGACCAGCTGAGATTAAGTTTTGAAAAAATAAATACTTGCTGTCATCAGTCTTCAAAATTTAAGTATTTCTCATATTCAAACTGTTAGGATGGATGGGTAGGATAAGACCTGATTAGTATCAAAACTGTATTTATGTGTTCTATTCAGAGGGTAACAATTACAAGATTGGGTCTCAGGGTGAGAATGCAATGACACATAAGATCAATACAAAAGTGAGAATGCAATGACACATAAGATCAATACAAAAGTGAGAATGCAATGACACATAAGATCAATACAAAATTGAGAATGCAATGACACATAAGATCAATACAAAAGTGAGAATGCAATGACACATAAGATCAATACAAAATTGAGAATGCAATGACACATAAGATCAATACAAAATTGAGAATGCAATGACACATAAGATCAATACAAAAGTGTTGCTATTGATGTTCAACAGATTGTTTACCATGTCTGACTGCTGTTTCAGAGAATGCATTCATGGAGAAGTCATCATCATCAAGAGGTCCATATTCTCCATCACTAATTAGTGACATGCTGTATTCGGCAACCTTAATGTGCTGCTTCTTTAATATGCACCTCCTGGAAAACATGTGTAAGTGTGATTTATTGCCCTTAATGTTGAAACATTACATGTGTTACATATTGTACTGTCACTGTCATTAGTTGTAAACTCTGTCTCAAGTGGTACAGTATCAACTTATTTAGTTTTATGACCCCAATTAGGCTAAGATAAAGATGTCCATCAAGATTTTCATAGTCTTCAAAACAATCTCATTGGTCAGCTGATCTCTGTAATTGTTTTGATTGGTCGTCAACATTTTCAAGGAAAACGTATGAGGCCACATCAAGTCAAACTCTCTCATGGCCTACTAGAAAGAAGCTAACAACCACCTTATCAACCAGCATGAAATTAATAACCAAATCAAAACAAGCAACAAGCCAAGATTAGCTGACTGACCAAACAACAAAACAACCAAGAGCCTAACCAACCAAACAACAAAGCAACCAAGAGCCTAATTCTAACCAGCCAACCAAACAATACATTGATTGATTTTTGACAGATTAGTTGGTTAGTTGCTTGCTTGATTGGTTGGATGGCTGGTATGTTGAGGTAGCTAGATGTCAACTAGAAGGGTGGCTTGTTGCTTGGATTCTTGGTTGGCTGGGTGGTTTAACATAAAATGTAGATGCATCTTGGGCATAAAAGAAATCAATTCTTAACCCTGCTAGAAATGTTAGGTATCCAGTCAGCTGGCTATTGGTTACCAGTTTTTTACACAAACCTGGTGGTATTGTAAATTTGAGGAAGGTAGGGTCACTGTTGAAGATCATCCACGATATGGTCGCAAAAAGACTTCACAGACAGACAAGAACACTAAGATAATATGAGATGCAATTCATGAAGAGAGAACTTTCCCACTGCAGATATTAGCAGAAAAGTCAACATGGGCTATAGACAGTTCAATGAGTAGTTCACAATGACCTGAAGATGCATTTGATCTGCTTGAAATGGGACAGAAGAAGCTATGTGTAAGTTTGGAGCAGTACCAGCAACTAACTAAGTAAGCTAAATGTGCGATATGCTATTTCAAATCATAATGAAAACTGTATTAATTTTGATGTTGCCTGACTATGAAAGTATTTTGTCATCTACAGGATGAGCCAAACAAATGTCCCTACTTTTTATTTTGATAAAACATTTTTAAAACAATTTTAATATGTTGTTAATGTCTGACATTAATAACTGGTCGTAAATTCCAAAAAGCAATTCAAAAGATTTGAACTAATTTACATACATTGTCACCTGTCTGCAAAAAAAATTTGTATTAGGTATTTGAACATGACTGTATTCATGCCAGGGGCAGATCTGGGAACCAACAAGGGGGGGGGGCTAAATCTCAGGTCAGAGAAAAAAAACTTCCGCGCATGTGTGGAAACAAATTTTGAAATTTTGAGGTTCAATTTCTTCAAAATTTGGCCTGGAATTAAAAGATAAGGCCTTACAAGGCCAAGTAATGACCAAAAAGGCCCCATGCCCCCCCCCCTAGATCCGCCACTGCATGCCTTCTATAAACTATGAACAAAGTCTACATTTCACCCGGGGTATATTCGCGAACAATACCAAAGCAGGTGTATAGGGGATTCACTTTTCGACTTTTTTCCAGATCAAGATGGAGTTTTGCCTTACTCGAGTCTCTAGCCAATACTTGGCTAGGGGATTTCATCTGGAATACTGTGAACTCTATTTGAAAAAAGCTGGCCGTGGTGTCATAAATTTATTGAATATTTTAAAAATCGCCAGATAAATAAATTATTAATCAAACCGGACCCAGCTCAGCTCCTTGATGAGATATGACATGATTTCATCAAGATTTCGTCTAAAATTAAAACAAAATGGCTCCAAGAAAAATGGCGATGTTCGAAAACTGGACGAAATGTCGTTAACGTCTGACATTAGTAACTGGCTGTAAATTCTAAGTTAGCGATCCAGAAGATGTGAACTAATACACTGATCACTTTATGTGTGTTTTGGAAATTTTGGTGAGGTAATAAGACCAAAACTCGCAATTCAAATTGTGATGTGGAAAAATGGGGGACATATGATTTCAAACTTTATGATTACGACATGACCAGTTGTTCATGCAGGAATATATCTGTACTGGAAGGCCACGATACAGTGGCCTTAGAAGAAGGTAAGTTTTGCCCATTTGGCCTCCTGGTAGAGGAAAACAAGCACAAAAAAATTTCAGCCAAATCCATTAACGTTTAGATCTCCCCCTACAATATTTTCTGACGCCAATTCACTACCATATTAAAAATAGTCTGAAATTTGCAAAAAGTGTCATTTTCATCACATTTGAGACCCATGTTCTACCAAAGGCACTTCACTGATTTTTATGAGAGTAACCTAAATTGCAGAACAAAATGTCTCAATAGCGAATTATTAGGGTGTGGTGGGAGCTAAATAGAGTGCTGGGCCACAGTCTAAAACTTTTAGTAAACGTAAAGGCTAGAGTACCGACAATTGTCGGTACTCTAGACTCTGATGTGGTGGCACGCTAGAGGACCGACAAATAAATTGTCGGTACGGGAGATATGCTGTGTTTACACGCTAGAGGACCGACAAATATTGATTTTCGAATTTTCTGGCGCATGCGCAATGCGCGGGGGGATATTTCAGATATCATACGGATATTTTGGGAACAAGTGCAAAACCCTGGGAGGGCATTAGCCCCGGGGATTACCAAACCCAGTCAAAAAATGGTAGCCCGGGAACAGGGAATGGTAGTAAACGTTGAAAACCCAATAAAAAAACATTAACAAGTAAGACGTTAGAGAGTTATTTATGCAGAGTAAACGGCTATATATATTCTAAACAGACAGGATATTTCTCCTGAGCCGATCAGGCGTAGAAAGGGGCGTTTGCTACCCATTAGATAGAAGAAAATAGCTAGAATGTTTTTTTATTTAGAGCTTATCGTATGGTATGAGGTTCCATATCCATCCGCCAAAAGATATGACCCCTATATAGTCCATCTAAAAACCTGTGGTATCATTCTAAATATCCCATAGTTGGCTTCTAGGGTACCTAGTATGCCACTATTTGGTATCAAAATAAAGAGGTATCAAAATAAAGAGGAGTTCAACTTTCATTTGAATTACGAAAATAGCGATGTAGGTCATAATAGTTCCGAACGTGAGCATGTTTACTACGCGTTTGCCCGTCATATCAGAATTGAGGAAGTGGTAGCAAACGCGAGTTACAATAAACGGACGCTGATATCTCAAAAAGTAACTTGACTCCCTATAATTTGATGCAATCGAACCCCTATATGGACAGGTGCATTTTGATATATAACACTATGGGGGGTAAGCGTTTCATAGTTGGTCACGAACGCCATATGTGCAAAGTATTGTTATGAATTTTCGAATTTGGTGTTGGATTACGGTACTCATACCTTATAGCACAATTTTTGATGGAAGTTGCATTTGGCTCCCTTAGTTAATGGCCACGATTCCATCTCGCATGAGAGAGCTACCAAACGCAAAGTAAACAGTGATATATTCCAAATGAGATATTTCTCCTGTGCCATGGCGTAGTAAGGGTAGAGGTCGACGGGGGCGAAAGCATCCCCTCCCCTAATTGTATATATCGACCCATTAGATAGAACAAGAAAAGAGCTTTAAAATGTTTTTTAATTGAAGCTTGTAGGACAATTTTGATGGAAGTTGAATCAATTTTTGTCGAAATAAGTTATGGCTCACTACAAGTTAATGCCTGTACGATTCCATACTGCAAAAGAAGCACTATGCCCCGCCCCCCAAAAAAGAAAAAAGTAGGCCCTGCCGGGATTCGAACTTGGGACCGAGCGTGTTTGAGTCGTGCTCGCTAACCACTAGACTACCAGTGAGGTAGGTTATATGGGTTATTTAAGTAGTGGATTTATTTATGAAATTGTCGGCTCTCTAGCAAAAACACGCAGCAGCCACTTGCGTACCGACAATTGTCGGTTCTCTATCTGACACTACTAGGTGCGATAGAGTGCCGACAATTGTCGGTACCCCAGCAAATACCCCTGGACAGTCTCCAGTACCGACAATTGTCGGTCCTGGAGCCACTCCGTTTAGTAAAAGCCTAGCGAGAGCGGACATATGAACTAACACCACATACGAAGCAATTGTTTCATGATCAGGCCGTAATAAGTGGAAGCCTCAGAAGAAGGTAAATGCATGCCTGTCTTATAATGATTCATGATCATTTGACTTGCTGTTGTTGAATGACAGTGACACTCTGACACTGACAGATTCCAAATCACAGAACAGATTCAGTTTCACTTTGATTTTGCCACTGGATCTACAATACGTTAGAAAGTAATATGACAATTCTTTGGTTTTATAAAAGATATATTACCCTTTGTTCGGTTACCGTGTTAATCGTCTGGATAGTGTAGTATTGTTGTAACATACAAATAAATGTCGAAATGTTCTCGACTTCTCAGAATAATTATTTTCTACGCAAGCACAGATTTTACTTCCGGTTAGCTAGAGCGAGTTGCAGTCTTGAAAAGTGTGCTCGTTATAAAAATTAATGATTCCCTGATATAATGTCTATGAAGAGAGTGCAGGTAACATTTGAATTATAGCTAAGATTGCATGGATCAGTTTTATTGTATATTCTCGTCGTCATTTACAATTTACGGAGAGATTTAGTGCGCCTAAAGATTGTAACTTCCAAACCTAGGCTAATTAATAGCTCTAGAATTATCGCCCACAATGTTTAGACTAGAGCTATTACAAAATTTCGTTTGATTTTTTTTATCAATGGTTTGTGAATGTGGGAATGATGTACATATGTTATATAGTAAATTTACAGTGCCCAAATTATTAGGCTGGTTGGTGATGGCCGATTTTTTGGGATCACCTCATTGTACCGACGTTATCGTATCCTACCGACCACTTTAGATTGTGGTCGTACGCCCGATTCATTGGTAAGCCTGTCTTTCTACAATGTCGGAGAATGAACTACGCTTTCACTATTAAATGACCTACCTCGATACATTCCAGAGTATTTAAGAATTCTTTTTATGTTGTTAGATCGCCAATTGTATGGGTTTATCATTTCCAAGATTTTGATACTAAGAATCATCCCTGAAAATTAAAAATTGACCCTGAAAACGGTTAACCTGAAAACGCAGACAAGATTTTAGGAGGGAGATTTATCATTTGCGGGTAACTTTAACATTTATGTTCTTGTTTAAGGTGCAACAATAACCCAGATGCGAGTAGAAATAATCTTGATTTACGTCATTACAAATTCAAAATTCAGTCAAAGTAATATCATATTTGAAATCTACATGTAAAATTACTTCTAGAAATGTGGTTTTAAAAAGTGTTTATCAACTTTGAAAAATTAATTTTCTTTGAAAATGTGACTTCTAGCTCGGGGAGATTCCCCATAGACCCCATGCTATAAAATCACAAAAAATGAAATATCTTTTCTTTTAGTGGACAGATAATATTTTGCTTTACTGGACATATTTTCATTAGTATAAGTATCAAACACATAAGGGTTATATTAAAATTGAGCCACTTAAATTGATAATATTCAAGTTTAAGGGAACTTTCTTATATACCTGCCATGTTAATTGACCCGAATCAGCCACCTGGTGGTGAACCTGGTAACTACCTACTCGCATTTGGGTAATTAGTGCAGTCAAAATATATTTAAGTTTGGATATTTCATCAAGAATAACATATATTTTTATTATCTACAAAGAAACCCCTTGGATGAACATTATTTCAGCTGATATTCCTCTTGAAACGTGGTGAATTTTAAAAATTTTAAAGTGGGACTCCCTTTATAGAAGCTTTGAACTGAATTTACACTTCTTAGTGCTGAAATTGATAGTTTGTCCATACATTTTAAGAAAATAGGTAGCTGTAGATTGGGTTAATTTGGCGCCCGCTTTAATTTGGCTAAATTGAAAAATTCGCCAATATAAATCTTCCCCAAAATTTAGAATGAATCCCCGGGAATTATCTAGGGTATTTCGTCCAGTGTATTTAGGTCACTTCTGGTTTAGTTTTTTTCCAAAAATATGAAAAAATGCATATCTGCCAAATTAAATAGCCGCCAATATGCCAAAAATGGCAAAATCGCCAAATTAAGTAGCGCCAAATTAACCCAATCTACAGTATGTCAAAGAAGATGTTAAGCCAAATATTGACCTGATAGCCCAGAAAAAAATAAAAATTTTCGAAATTTCTCTCTACAGTCCTTGTTGCCCCTTTAATTATTGACTTTGATAAGGTAACCCACAGTTGAAACCTATTCCAAATTGTGTAGTAGGATATACCTCGATGAATTGAAGATGAAAATCAGGATTATGTCAGCAGTTTCCTTACCTATTCTCTTGTTTTCTTTGACAAAACAATTTTACCAATGTAAATAAGAGATTGATTTCTGGAAACAATGCTTCATATCTGCCTTTTTTCTGCATTTATATCTAGGTCTTGAAATTGTTCCTATTGTCCACCATTTTATTTTATTTTAGTTGGATACTTTCATACTTTGACGAATTGAAGATGAAAATCAGGTCTTATCAGCATTTTCCTTACCAATTCTCTTGTTTTCTTTTATAAAACACTTTTCCCAATGTAATAGAGTGATTGATTACTGGAAACAATGCTTCATATTGGCAATTATTCAGCATTGATATCTAGGTCTTGAAATTGTTCCTATTGTCCACCATTTTATTTTATTTTAGTTGGATACTTTCATACTTTGACGAATTGAAGATGAAAATCAGGTCTTATCAGCATTTTCCTTACCAATTCTCTTGTTTTCTTTTATAAAACACTTTTCCCAATGTAATAGAGTGATTGATTACTGGAAACAATGCTTCATATTGGCAATTATTCAGCATTGATATCTAGGTCTTGAAATTGTCCACTATTTTGTCCAACTACAAGATTTGGAATGGCTAACATTTGTGGGGGAGTTTTGCTATCACTAAATATCAAAATTAAGAAAAAGGCAAACCACCCTCACATTCATGGGGCTAGTTTCCTTTTGACAGTCAAAATTTCTTTGAAACATAATTGATCCATGTTTTAGATAAGAAATGAAAATACTGACAGCTTTTTTATTCACAGATTTTTGCCTTGTTTAGCTTGTTTCGATTTATCTAGTCCCAAGACCATCTCTACGTTTTGGTCTGGTGTGCACACAATAGAACAACACATTATATTTCAAAAGTTGAAAAATATTGGTACTTCTTACCTCAATCAATTGCAGAGGTATTCACTTCAATCTTTAAATCAGCCAGTATTTCAAAATGTCGGCATCGACTTTGGGATGGTATTGGCACAAGATTAGTTTTGATGGCTGTTAACTCAGAGACTGGAGTCTGAAAAATATTTCTCTACAGTATTATATAATTAGCAAAATCCCTGTGGATATTTTAGTCCATGCATGCACTTGTCAAAATGTCAATTCTACATTATTTCAAGATAACTCAAGACAATATCTAGGTAAATACAATGTTGTAGTGACACTAATAATTAAATATTAGTCCTAAATCTGCCAAATTAGATAACCGCCAATATTTGAAGTTGAGCAAATCTGCGAAAATTAAGTAGCGTCAAGCCACACTATGCTTAATTTAGAAGAAAAAGTATAAAATAATCATTGAAACATGTTACTCACACACTCAATTAAATATGATACAAAGTTTGATTTGCATTAGTATTAAATCAAGAAAAAATAATTTACAGAGAAAACACCATTTGAAGTTCAGAGATCTTTAGTAGTGCATGTGCATTTTAACAAAGTTCATGTTTAAATAACTTTTGATTGAAAAGATGGCGACACTTCTATGAATATTAAAGGATTGTGTGATACAAACAACCTTGCCATCTTTCAATTATATTGGTAAAATTTTGATATATAAAAAAATACTTTTTGATAATTTATTGTAAACTTTGATATGGGCCATTTTAACTGTTTTTGTGTCCAATGAAAGATAAAATACTCATTAATCCATTGGAAATACTATGAAGTTTAAAAGTAGGTCTTTATTTTGCCAGAGAATGTTGAAAATATGCATAATGGGCCTTTAAGTGTATCTATTGTACTTGAAAGCCCATGTTTTTCACACAGAAGTTAAATGAAAATTTTTCTAAGTTTCAAGCATATATGGGTAAGAGGTGATAAAGGAGCACGTAGGTTATCGCAAACAATTTCAGAAGGTTATATCTTGGATTGTGACTATTTTTTGACAATAAAGACAGGTTTATCTTTTTATATCAATTCATTATCTCAAAGAAAATTATATACAGTAATAATAAAGTCAAACAAACTCGGAGATATTTAACTAGCAATCAACCCCTCAACACACTTTTTCAAAGATGTCGACCCAAAAATGCAAACATTTTTACAGTGTTTAATGCATTACTATTCTTTATTTCAAATGGGTCAAATTTTTTCCTTTTAGGAAATTGAACATGTCTCGAAGCACATTCTAATTGTGCATTCAACAATTTAATAAAAGGTTGCATTTTTGGTAAAAATTAGGTCAACATTTTTGAAAAAGTATGTTGATTGGGCCATTGCCCCTTCAATATCACTTAGGTCTGATTAACTAAATTATCATTATATCGATATACAGTATACTGTTCTTGAAGATAATGAATGGATCTAAAAGATACACCCATGTTCATGATCAGAAAATATTCATAATTCAAGTTAGAATCGTTTGAAATTGTTTGCGATAACCTACGTGCTCCTTTCTGTTCAAAAGATGTGTATGCTGACTAAGCATAATTGGTTGAGCTTACCTTCGATTTAATTTTAGTCGAAAGTATGCAATATCTCACAGAGGACAGTTAGGCTAAGTGTTCGTTTCAATTCTAGTCGATGAAGTATTCTCACTATGATTTTTAAAATAAAAGTTTATAATTTATTTTTTTCCAGGACAAACATTTTAACTACTGCACGGTGGTCCACATGCCATCTCAGACTCGAATAAGGTTGAGCTAGTCATATATATGTTTTAAATGTTCTTCTTATTCTTAGTTGTTAGCCTTTTGCAGATTATTACATACCACTGGCGGATTAGGGGGGGGGCCCAGGGGCCCGGGCCCCCCCCCTTGGGTGGGCCCAGAAAAAAAAATTGGGCCCAAAAAAAATTTTGGGCCAAACAAGGCCTTCAGGCCCCAAAAAGTGGGCCTTTTTGGTCATTACTGGGCCTTTTAAGGCCTTATTTGTTAATTTCAGGCCAAATTTTGAAGAAAATGGGCCTCAAAATTTCAAAATTTGGGCCCACTTTTGGATTTTAGGGGCCCAAAATTTTTTTACGCGCAAGCGCGGACGTTTTTTCTCTGACCTGGAATTTGGGCCCCCCCCCTTGTTGGTTCCTGGATCCGCCCCTGCATACACCTATACATTGACATGTCACCTAATTTCAAAACCCACATGCATATTCACCCACATCAGTAGTTTATTTAGTATTGTTTATATTTATCAGGGAATGTTTCAGGGAACAATTTGTAGTATTGGACTGTAATGAATCTATCTTTGTGTTCATTTTTGGGTTCATGTAGTGAACCAATATATATCACCATTTACTCTTCTGTCCATCCATCCTCCTATCTTTTATCTATATGTCTGTTTGTCCATCCTTCAAGAAAGAAGTAGATAGTGGATTTGATTTGATTTGATTTGATTTGATAGCAGCAGAGAGTGTGTCAATGTTTCTAAAATCGTTAAATAAATGTTTACCACATGTTATAGCAATGGGCCACATTCTCCCGTTTCTGGTGGATATATGATGCAAAGTTCCAGAGTCCCTTTAAGTCAGCACCACGACTATGTTTCCATCTATTGGGAAAACACAAGCCTATCTACTATCCAACAAGTAAGTTACATCAGACATCCTTAGTTTAGTTGTTGTCAATATTTTTTACTTCAAATGACCCTATGAAATCAATACTAAAAGATTTTATTGGAGAGGGAAGCTCACTGTGTCTTGATTTTTTGATTTGATGTTATATAAATTGCGTTTACTCATATAGTACATTTTCTGTAAAATAAAGAAGTATGTGTATTCTGTACATGTACAGGGTGACACAAAAAATAACTTTGTTTGTCTATTAACATATAGATGTCCTTTGGCACATTTGAAGTAAACATAATGTGAAAGCAGTCAAGAAATTTCAGATGTGTAGCTCAAGTGGGTCTTTTATGAGCATTACAACATTTGCTCTAAATGTCGTCCATTTCTTTGCAGACACACATGGATTCTACACAAAAAATGCCACCCAGCTTTTGTAACATAACTTTGTAAATACTAATGATTTTGGTTTGTACTTTCAGGGAAATGAAGCCCATTCAATTAAACACAAAATAATCTAGTTGTCATTGATAAATCATTATAACTTATTTCCAAAATTATGTTGCAAAATGTGGGTGTCATTTTTTGTGTAAGATCCAGTCGTGCCAGCAAAGGAATAGACGACACATTTTGTAACGCTCATAAATGTGCATCTAGGTGAGCAAGTCATCTGAAACTTCTTGTGGAGTTTCAAAATGGAGTGTAATTTAAATGTGCGAAAAAAACAAATTAGAATTTCTTCAGACAAAAAAGTTCTGAAACATTATGTGGGTGGGTGTCATTTTTTGTGTCACGTGGTATATGCCTCAGTAGCACACACATAACCAAGATCCAACAATTACGCCATTAGCATGATTTTTACAATAACGCAGATGCGAGTAGGTAGTTACCAGTTTCACCACCAGGTGGCTCGTTCGGGTCAGATAGCATGGCGGGTATAGTAGAAAGTTCGCTTTAACTTAAATTACATCTGTTTTAGTGGTTCAGTTTCCATATAACCTTTATGTATCTAATAGTTATGCAAATTAAAATATGTCCAGTAAAAGAAAATGTTATCTGTCCAATACAAGAAAAGATATTTCACTTTTTGTGATTTTTAACATGGTGTCTATGGGGAATCAACCCGAACTAGATATCACATTTTCAAAAAAATTATATTTTCAAAGTTGATAAACAATTTACGAAACTATATTTCTAAATGTACTTTTACATGTAGATTTCAAATATGACATCACTTTGACTGAATTTTTAATATTAAATTACGTAAATCAAGATTATTTCTACTCGCATTTAGTCTATTTAAGTTGAAAATTATGATGAGACAGTTATAATTTGATAGCCTTTTTACCATATTCTGTTATACTGTAATAATTCCTAGGTGATGTTGGGGACCACATTGTTGTCATAAATACCAAACATATTGCAATGAAGAATGACTACTGGAGGACATTCACATATTTTCACCACACAGGGTAAGTACCATTAGTCATATACTACCCTTATGTTTTGAGGTTAGCTAAAATTTCAAGTTTTATTTTTGAAATATTTTTGATTCACAATATTAAAGAATGAGACCTTCAAAGTAGTATGTAAGAAGGTCATAGTGTTATAACATTTTAATAATTTGTAAGGGATTTATTGCTAGCCTACCTGCTAGAGATTAGAGTTAGCTTTGTATGTATTCTATTATATGGTATGAATATTGCAAAATGCATATCATTATATTGCAGATATCCTAAAGGGTTTTCTAAAACTAGAGCTTGGGAGGTCCATGAAGCAGATCCTACTCGGGTTTGTTTGTTTATTTTTTTGTTTGCTCGTTTATGTTTTTTTCATTAGATATCTTATATCCATCATGAAAACATTTATTAAAGTACATGATTCATCAATATTGTTTACATAATTTTTATCACTCAATCAATGACATAATTCACAGCATTTCATTCTGTTCAGTACTTCAAATTGCTTACAATTGATTTAAAACCTCCTTCCCGCCTCCTATTGTTGATCGTGAATATTGAAATGACAACCGATTTAAATTCCCATGTAAATTCCAATGTTTTTTAGCTTAAATGACACATTGATGAATAACCCACCTCCTACATTTTTACAAAAACACACCTGAGTTCATGTATGTGATTGAAAATCTGTAATAATTTTACTTTTGATTCTTAGATCATGAGACTGGCAGTGAGAGGTTGGTTAAAAGGCAATCTTGACAGACCAAAAGTCATGGAGCGACTCCATTGTTTTCCAGAAGAGGTTTGTAGATGTACTGTTATATAATCCTATATTCGTTTTAGATATTTATGTGGATCCCTTGGACAATTTACTCATGATGGTATTACATGGTAGTTAACCCTTTTCCCCTGGTTAACATATCCTTGGCGAATCTCTAATGAATATGTTTTCATTTTTTGAAAATACAATAATTTTCTTGTATGGGCTTTTTAAAAAAAAGAGTTATATACAGATATAGTATTCCCTCTATTATAATGCTCTTATTCTAGAAATTGGAGACAAGCTGACCAAAATAGCACAATGAGTTGTAGTATCAGTTGAGTTTTCAGTTGGTCATTGTAAAATTAACCACATAAAATGCTATGACAGGCAGACTAGACTAGACTTTCGTAGTAATTTTAGTTGATCCCCGTATCAATTCTAGTGAATATTGACATTTCTGCAACAAATTTTCAACAATTCCCAAATTAGACCAAATATCTCAATTTTATTCAACGAAATATATTAGGTTTGTAAGGGAAGAATTGTTTGCATCATTTTATTATCTCTTCTTTGCTGTCACTTTAATCTTCCACTCTTTTGTGCAGGATGTCCCTGAAGAGATTCTGAAGAACGTTAGCGGCCAGATCCCCCAAGTGTTCCCAATACCTAAATCATTAGAGGAGTATACAATGGAAGAAAGAGAAAACTTCCCTAGGCTAATTGAATGGTAATCTTAATATTCATAGTGCAGATTTAGAAACATGCCACATGATGTTGCACATGTACTTGCCTTTCTAGGTTTTCATATTAAGCCTTAGAGTAGTAAACATATTTTCTCATTTTCTCCATTGATTTCGCATTATAGTCCTTTTGAGATTTTAATATAAATAATAGATTAACTTGAAATGTTTCAAAGGGTTCTAAATAATAGAGCAATCAGAAGGAATTTTCAATTTATAATGGAAAAACTATTGATGATGTAGTATGTGCTCCTAGATTTAGGCACAGTCTCTACTTGCACATTTATTAACACCATTTCTGCACATTCTGCCAATTTTATATATACTCTAGGGGCGGGGAGGAAAATTCTCAATAAATGGTGTATAGTTGGTTTGGCAGCATTTTCAGTTAGGGGAGAGTCTTGGATGAAACTTCCACCTAGGTGATAGCTTCACAGAGTGGTAGGAAGTTCTTTTTTTTTGAGGAGTTAGCCCCCCACCCCCAAAAAACACCCCACCCTGGGGAAAAATTGTTCACACTAAATAACCTTAGATATTTTGATGTTTGTAAGTAATATACATAGATATTATATATATGAATCACTTGCAGTATAATTGATGCTGATAACTCCTAAAGAATTTGAAAATTAGTACAAAGTATGTACCCCAGGGGGCAAATTCGTGACTCATTTTCTTAATATTTTGATTCTAACTTTTCAATTAGACACTGTAAGAGGTTGGAAAAATTCATGTGAAGTGCCCAATAGCAGGGTTAGTAACCCTGAAAGATGCAAAGCCATGGAAGAGGTAGGAGCTGAGAAAAAAATTGTTGATTTTTCGAAAAATTTGACATTTTTGACAGCTGGATTTTGTGTATGAATATAGCTGGTCCTTATAATTTCTAGATCCATCCCTCTATAATGATATTTATGGTTTTAAGGAAGTTAAAGGTTTTAAACAAGTCCAAAATTTGAAAAATTGTAAATATAAGGTTTCAAATTTACGAATTACAGGTATAGCCATGGCTGACCCCTATAGTTTCTAGATCAATCCCTCTATGATGATATTTATGGTTTTATAGTGTGGAACTAAGATGTTAAACATAATTTAGATGGGTTTTAAGGAAGTTAAAGGTTTTAAAGGGTTCCGATTAGCATCCCGTATAAAAACAATATGGCGGCTCCAGGCGAATCAACTGGATCAGTCCATTTTTAAGAAATAAGGGGAGTTCTGTAAAATCCAGTTTATTGAAATTGTCTTTGAGATAAAGTAATCCGTTTATAATGATTTTGAAAACGTTATCCAAAGAGTGATTGCGTTCAAAGAATACATGTACAACAGCCAATATAAATCCTTGTATTAGAACTGCTTTGTTTCATTTGTAGGATATTTCATATGCCAAGCTGTGTGCTATTACGTTATGGGGAAATTTAGATGCCAATTTTTCCTTATTATACACAAATAGAAGATCCTGAAACTTCACCCATAAATGTGGAATTGATTTGTCAAAATAAAAATCACCCTTTTATAAATGTGTGACGATCTATAATATACTTATGCTAAATAACAGTTAGAGGTGTTGACACAACGACCTCGAACCTGTATACCCTTGAGTATTATTCCGGGATCGGGCCTTTTATACTAAACGGTGAGCAACACCAGAAACGAGCGTTCGATTTGCTAAACGATATGCGTCACCCTTTAAACAAGTCCAAAATTTGAAAAATTGTAAATATAAGGTTTCAAATTTACGAATTCCAGGTATAACCATGGCTGACCCCTATAGGTTCTAGATCCATCCCTCTATGATGATATTTATGGCTTTATAGTGTGGAACTAAGATGTAAAACTCTTTGGTGATATTTATGGTTTTGTAGTATGGAACTGAAGATGTAGAACATAATTTAGATGGGTTTTAAGGAAATTAAAGATTTTAAACAAGTCCAAAATCATCCATACCTCTATGATGAAACATATATTTGTGAAACTAAGAGGTAAAACATACCGAAGATGAATTTTAAGGAAGTTTAAGAATTTTAACAAGTGCAATGTTTGAAAAATTGAGAAATATCAGGTCTCAAAGGAGAACGGAAAGTATCGCAACATATTTCAGACAGTCATATGTTAGATTTTGTCTGTTTCCTGAGGATTTAAGCAGGTGCATATGATAGGCCATTGCATTTCCCACGGGAAAAGATCTCTTAGAGATGATAAAATAGTTTGGACTTTGAGACAGCGAAGGTGCAAACAATCCACCCACATGTTTTTTCGGAAATGTTGTCCTGATTTTCAAGCCCTTTAACCCTGCTTTTTCAATTTTTGTTGCATCAATATGTTGCGTTTTGAGACATAGTTAACCCATAAAAAGGAATAATAAATTTCTTTTAGATAAAGCAGAAAACAATATTTTCCTGTTATTTTCCCATAGGGAAAACTCATGTGCTCCATTACTTTCAGATTAATTTTGGTCACCCATATTTGATATCTTTTAAACCCCTGATGGAATGCATTATTTCTTTAAAGGGGTTAACTGTGTGTCAAAACACAACATATTGATGCATGTGGGTGGGTTGTTTGCACCCTGTCTCAAATAGAAATTATTTTATCATCTCTATGAGTGCTTTTCCTGGAGGAAATGCATTGGCCTAACATGTGCACCTCCTCAAATCCTCAGAAAATAGCAAAAATCCAACATGTGACTGTCCTAAATCTGTTGCGATACTTTCAGTCCTCCTTTATGATTTCAGGTATTGCCTTGGATGTCTCTCTTTTTGAATTTATGACTTTTTAGCTTAGAAATTAGATGTTGAAAATATTGTGGTCAGGTTTGATCCAATATACAAGTATTGTTAAAAGAAAAATCATTAGAGTTGAGGACCTTACCCTAGAGTTCCTAAAGGGGTGAGCGGTTAATAAATCCCCCCCCCCCCCTAAAGTGTAACTGCTCTTAGGGATCGTATACAGTATAGTAATTGATTGATTAAATGGATTATAACTAATTAATTATTATTTGATGATATTTATTATGTGATATAGCATTTTTACTTTTTCACATCAACATGTTCGATGTAATGTTCTACATTGTCAAAATACATAAAGACATGGTTAATTAAAAGAAACATGATTTCTCTATATTTTGTTATGCCCATACTGTAATTAAGCAATGATAATCTCCTAATACAAAATATTATTCTAAATTATCAAATTATAATCACTACACTCCCAATAAAACAACTTGTCATCAGGCAACAGTAATTATTTGGGAAAATAAGGATTATAAGGATCATACCCTGCTGGGCCTAGAAACTCCTGTTAGTGCAATGAGATTAGGAACTCAAGGATTAAAGGGTCTCGTCACACTAAAATCTTCAAGTAGATCAAAAAAGTATATATGGTGATATATATGATCAATATGTTTCAAACAAACAGACATTGTAGAAAATGTTTACATACTGACTTTGCAGATGACATTTTCTAGCAGTTGAAGAATTTTTTACATTTCTTGAAATGATATTCATAAAATTAGAAAATCAGTGTCATTTGATGCAAATTACTGCAGTCCCACATGTTCTCCTGCTGAATGTTAAACAGAGTGAATAAGTTTAAAATCAGCCTCTTCAAGAGTGGAATTTAACAGGGGATTTCAGTTATCATTTTCACAGATATTTGAGTTCTCTCCAATAGTTCCACTAAAAACAATCTTGACATTTGGCACAGTTTTAGAATGCTGCTTTATTAAATTTCTTTGTAATCTTTGAAAATTTGTATTATATGACTTGGCCAAAAGGTATTCATGTTTTTAGGTAATTGTGTAATTTCTTCTTTGGATTAAAGTTCAGTAGGGGAAGCTTTCAGAATCCTTTACTGATGGAGACTACTATGAGTCTCATATGAAATCTATTCTTTGGGCTCCTTTACTAGATTTGATGGAGTAGTCAAATATAGCTTTCCAAAACTCTCCAAATTTCAACATATAAGTTAATCTTAATTTTCCTTTTGTCATAGCCATTGCATCGATCACGAAAGTTTTATCATAGTTTACTCACACATAGCTAGGCAACGTGTGTCCAATTCCAGCCAATTCAATACTCCATATAACTGCATTCCAATTTACTACTCTCATAAACCCAAGGTCAATTTTAGATTCTAGAGAAAGTAATGAAACCAATAAGCTGATCAATAACATTGACTAAAAATCTATAAATAGCATCATAGGGAATAGCATGCCAAGTGCTTGTATTTGAATTAATGTGGATTACTCATTTGGTAGACACCTTTACCAAATCTTAAAGTGTTGTTGATTTTCAAGTTGTACAAGCAAAGTGTCATGGGTGCTTTCTTTTCCTGACATAGTATTAACATTGTGGTAAAAATTATCAAATGCACCTAGTACAGTAGTTCTAGTTCATCATCTTGTATAAATGATATATCAACAGTGAAACCTGTATATCCCAACATCTGACTATTGTGAATACCTACCAATCATCCCAACACCTAATCTGAACACCAACCAATCTGAACACTTTTCCCAGTCCAATCTTTCCTCCCATTGACTCCTATGTTTAAAAAGTTGAAATCTGAATACCTCTTACTTCGAACAGTGAACACTCATATTTTACCAAATATCACATATTTCTTACAAAATTGCTCAAATATTGTCAGTTTAACACTGAATTGTTATGATATCAAAACTTTTGAATTGGATTTTGGAATGCTATTAAGCTTTTTATGTGGTCAGTATAAATATTATTAATATTTTTCATTGAGAATGCATTCATATTTCTTCAAAATCCGTACTTGTATTGTAGATGTAAAAACCTCAAAATTCAAACACTCCTAATTCATGTAATTAGAATGCTTTTAGCTGGTCCAAATACCAGTAGCATTCAGATTAGAGAGATTTTACTGTAGTTCACGACTTTTCACTCCATCTATATGCAGCAGACTAACTGCTGCAACAGGTATATATTCTACACCTGGTCTCTAAGCTATGATATCATAGTTGATACTATTATGCTCATAACCTTCAATTCTTCAATTCAGGGCTCATTCAAGGCTGTACCTGAATAACGTGAATTTCGAGACCAATTTTAAGATCAGTTTTTCAAATTTTGCACTTGTTTAAAACCTTGAACTTCCTTCAAACTCATCTAAGGTATCTTTTACATTTTAGTTAAATACTCTTAAAACTATATATTTCATCCCTGAGGTATAGATGTCAAAACCATAAGGGTCATCTTTGGCTATACCTGAAATTCTTCAAATTTCGGACTTGTTTAAAACCTTAAACTTCCTTAAAATTCATTTTGGATATGTTAAATCTTAGTCCAACACTCTAAAACTGTATATTTAATCATAGAGGTATGGATGTAAAAACCATAAGGGTCAGCCGTGGCTATACCTGAAATTCGTAAATTTAAAACCTTATATTCACAATTTTTCAAATTTTGGACTTGTTTAAAACCTTAAACTTTCTCAAAACCCATCTAAATTGTGTTTTACATATTAGTTCCACATGGCAAAACCATAAATATCATCATAGATGGATGGATCTAGAAACTATAGGGGTCAGCCATGGCTATACCTGGAATATGTAAATTTGAAACCTTATATTACAATTTTTCAAATTTTGGACTTGTTTAAAACCTTCAACTTCCTTAAAACAAATCTTAATTATGTTTTACATCTTAGTTCCACACTATAAAACCATAAATATCATTATAGAGGGATGGATCTAGAAACTATAGGGGTCAGCTATAGTCATACACAAAATCCAACTGTCAAAAATGTCAAATTTTTCGAAAAATCAACAATTTTTTTCTCAGCTCCTACCTTTTCAATGGCTTTGCATCTTTCAGGTTTACTAACCCTGCTATTGGGCACTTCCCATGAATTTTTTCAACCTCTTACAGTGTCTAATTGAAAAGTTAGGATCAAAATAGTAAGAAAATGAGTCACGAATTTGGCCCCTGGGGTACACACTTTGTACTAATATTCAATTTCCTTAGGAGCAATCAGCATCAATTATACTGCAAATGATTCATATATATAATATCTATGTATGTCACTTACAAACATCAAAATATCTAAGGTTATTTACTGTGAACAATTTTTTTCCCCCGGTGGGGTGTTTTTGGGGGGTGGGGGGCTAACTCCTCAAAAAAAAGAACTTCCTACCACTCTGTGAAGCTATCACCTAGGTGGAAGTTTCATCCAAGACTCTCCCCTAACTGAAAATGCTGCCAAACCAACTATACACCATTTATTGAGAATTTTCCTCCTTGCCCCTTGAGTAATATACAGTATTGAATAATCCAAAGCACAACTTTGATAAGAAATACCAAATAATGATGTTTCATTTCAGGCCAGAAGAATATGTACAAACAGATAAAAAGACAAATCGACCAGGACCGAAGAGGGAAAGACGTTGGACCGATCCATTTAGAGGACGACCAATGAAAGCCAAAGACACATTTAGGTGATACAAACAATAAGGCCATGAAGGCAAGTGTTAGCTAAGGAGTTCATAGCGTCTTAACAACTGGAATATACTTGGCAATTTGTAAAGATTTGTTAAAGGGAATGCAGCTAATCTTTATGTACATGAACTTTGAGGAGACACAAGGTTACAACAGGCCTAATTACTATTTACAAATTGCCGATTCTTATAGACTGTTGAAACATGTTTTCTGTTTGCTGTTGTATAGATATAAATTGTTCCATTGATATATAAGACATACCAACTGTATTTGCTCTTTTGATGATGATGAAAAAAATAAATAAAAAATAAAAATGGACCAACCAATACTGATTTCAGACTAAAATCATAAAGAACCATAAAAAACTCAGACCTTAGTCTTCAGAACCATACATAACTGAAGACTTACATGTAGTCATAATAAACAATAGACATATATAAAAAATGCTGAACTTTAGATTACTCAATCATCAGTCATTCTTGGGCATTCTGAAGCATAAACAACATTAACTATTTCAAACAAGTCAACAATAAATAGGCCAATTTAAACAATAATCCACAAAGACATATGTCAGTATTTACAATAATCCACACAGACACTTGCCAGTATAAATAATAAATGACACGGACACTTGCCAAAGCAAACAATAATCCACAGACACTTGCCAAACCAAACAATAATCCATAGACACTTGCCAATATAAACAATAATCCACATAGAAACTTGCCAATATAAACAATAACAATATTATGAGTTATTCAATGAATTTTGTAGGGTCAGTCATGGTTCAGTTAGTCCTGTTAGTTAACCATGATTTTTTGTCATAGAGCCATAAGATAACCAAGAATGGAGTCCAAAATGGTTCATGTGCCAACCAGAGATACCAGACCGACTTTGAGAAGTGGGTCAATTTCTAGTGATATTTTATAAATATTCAATAATTATCATTTATCACATTTCCATGTTCATCAATTGCAATGATAAAATATCCCCTAAGAATACAAAGTAAAAGTGAAACACTACAAATTATAGCCATACTTCTGTTATGAAGACTGAAGTGCAATCTATAATAAGGCCCGAAAAACCCTACTGAACCGAATGGCAATGATAAATATAACCAACATCATACCAAATCATGTGATAAAGTGACATCATGGTGTAATATGGATTCTATTTCATAAATGGAAATATCGGTATATTTATGCCATATGAGCCAATCAGATCACAGGAAATCTCAGTCAATGAATAAAACAATGTATCCCTATATTCCTTCTGGATATTTATTCCATGTTTTAACAGAGAACATGTCATCCAGTATTTTACTTGTATATAGTGTTACTAGATTTTAACAATTGTGATCTTTCATAGAAATAAAAAACAAAAACAGCGACATCAGATATCTCTTAAATATTTATTTTTATATAAAATAGATTACAAAGCAGTTTACCCTTCAAACCATTGCAATTTGGACTTCATTTTTCATTTCATTTATTTATTATATTGAATTTACAATAATATTGAAGTATCTATAATCAAATACAAAAAAATTTGGATTGTACAAAGATATTTTTAATGTTTCTCAAAGTAATTTTCCTTTTAACTTAAGCCCTAGCACAAAATCAAAATCAGATTTTTTTATTCATGTAAAATAATTACTGCATTTACATACAAAATGATATATGGTATATTTTATACACTTAAAGCGTACATTTCCGTACATACAGAAACTGTCTGCTCAGATATTATGATAACTATACAATATTTTAAATGCATTCTGAGCAGAACAGTGTGTTAGTATTTTACATTATAGTTACATAATATATTCACTCTGTTTATAATTATAAACTAATTTGTCAAACAGTCAGAGAGAAAACAACATTGCAGAGTCAATTAGTAAATAGCATTTTCCCTAAGGTAAGATAATACTCTTTTATTGGACTTTATATCATAAATACAATACATGTTAGGTATTACTTGAACAGTGACATCAAAAATTTGAAGCATAGCAAAAGGAAGACTTGCAGTATTAGGAATGATTCTCAAAACATTACTAGAACACGATTATTCGCCATCCTTAGTTTGACTTTCTTTATAATATTAATGAAATGAAGAACTACAAAAAGAGATTTTTTTAGATAATTATGTGACCATCCCATTTTTTCCATTTGTATTAATTGGTTCTAAAAAGGCAAACATTTGGAGACTTCTTAATCCATAAAAAATCCATAATTCATTTTAAATACTGAGATAACATTCTTTAATGATTTTAACTGAAGAAATCAACTCATGTAGGGACCTATTGGTGTATTCACTGATTATGATATTACAAAATAGAACATTAATAATTTTTTATAATTTGTCCCTTGACTCTAAAATGTTGTTGCCTCAATTCTGTTTGCTATACAGTAGTGCCATCTATAGTGCCTCTTAAAGCCTAATCCAAAGCTAAGTGCTCTCTATAATCATTTTACTACATAAACATACATACTTAAATTCTCATAGGACTCATTCTATTGTAGGGGCCTTCACATACATTAATAATTCAACTGGATTATTGTACATGGTTTTCCCCTTTTGGTCCATTTCCAGACTCCCAATAGTCTACCTGTAAGGGGTCAGTCCAAGAAATCTGGATATAGTGGTATTCTTATCACCGTCCCTCCCAATGTCATGGTCTTGTTTACAAAATGCCATGGATTCTTCTATAACTATACCAATTAATGGGTTCCATTCATATATGAAGACCCCTGAGTATAATATAAATGCATGGTTTACACAGGCTGAGTAGTACATAACATACCCGGATAATATAGCTATGTACAATAGTTGAGGTGGTTTACCTGCACATGGTTTATTTATTACAAGAACATAATGCTAGGTTTTCTGCAACATGTGTCTACTGTACAGTAGTGTTTTAATGTTAGTCACATGACAATAGCCAGGATTTATGTCCCAATGAAAATTAGAAAAATTTGGAATCATTTTTTGTCCATTTTTTGTTTAGGGCTTTTTTTTACTGGCTACAGCCCTGCAACTGTACAAAGTCTTTCTATCAGTTCTTGCTTGTATTTAACCTAATCCTGGCTTATTCAGTATTCATATTCAATACTCTGAGACCAACATCAGCACTGTTCATAACTATATACTTACCATCGCAGTGTTGTAAATGGATAATAGAATTTGACTGAAGAATGTTTAGAATTGTGCATCCCTGTACCATATAAATGCTGATTTTGAAATGCATATTTTTGATTAGAAATATAAGAAGATGTCCTTCATGTAAAATTCTTGATTAACGTGCTTGTCCTTTTGAATGTTCTAATAATTTTAACATGATGAATATTCTTTCTACATGTATATGAGATCATATCTCACATATAAATAGCATGCATTACACAAGTAAATAATCTAAAAAATGATGAAATACATATACATTGGTGATGCTTTTGGTGAGTGTGTCAGTAGTTATACAGTATCTTCTGGCAGTCCGGTATGTCAAGATATATAAACACTATTGTAGATGTATCAAATAAATATTGTATAAAACACTATCAGCAGTATAGCACCCTTCATTGAGGTATTTAAAGAATTTTCCAAAGACTTATATGGGTCATTTTATTCAATGGTGAAAAAGAATGTGTCAATAAAAAATATGATAAGATAGGCTAATGACATATTAGAAAACATCCAATAATGTTTAACTTATATTAAAGGGGCAACAAGGACTGTAGAGAGAAAATTCGAAATTTTTTATTTTTTCTGAGTTATCAGGTCAATATTTGGCTCAGCATCTTCTTTGATATACCTATTTTCTTAAAATGTATGGATAAACTCTCAATTTTAGCATTAAGAAGTGTAAATTCAGTTCAAAGCTTCTATAAAGGGAGTCCCACTTATAGATTTTTAAGATTCACCACGTTTCAAGAGGAATATCAGCTGAAATAATGTTCATCCAGGGAGTTTCTTTGTAGATAATAAAAATATATGTTAGTCTTGATGAAATATCCAAACTTAAATATATTTTGACACTGATCGATGATCGTTGAATGGCCCCCTGCATTAATTGTTGCACCTTTAATTATATTATGGCTTTAGCATAATGAGAAAACAGGAGGTAGGAGATTAAGATTCATTTGTCTCTTTTTAGAATTCAAATGTGGTCAATTGAAAATTGAAATACTGATCTTTCAAATTGGAGTTGATAGGGGAAAAGTTTTCATAGTGTTTTGACCTACCTTGTTCCAGATGTCAGGAGTTGTTCATTAGCTTTAATTGTGAGTTTTGGTTACAGTAAAAGCGATATATAATATACCTACTAAAATACTTACCTACTATAATGTTTTACGATTTTATATCATATATGGCACAAATTCTCAGTTTCGAATTATGCTCTGGCAAGAAACTGATTAATTTGACACTAGATTCACCAGTAGCACCACTCTATTGCAGCCATGTAACAGCAATACATCAGGGACCAGCAATAGCTGCATCGCAATATGATATACTGGTACACAGTTGCAATATACTCTTTTTAAATGCATTGAAATACATAAATTCATTATTCATAGAGTTATACATTTGTACAAATTAAAATACTTCATATAATACAACATTTTGCCACAGAGTAATACTTAGGACTTTTGATAATTTAACATACTGTATGATATGAGATTAACAGGTTCTCATTGTCATTTGAAAGCTGACACTTAATCTCTTGATTGCATAGGTACATTAGTTACCCTGAGTGGCATTTTATTTAACATATATCACTTAAGAATAATCCTGAATCGGAAATTCTATTGATAGTCCACATATTTCTTAGATCCAGGCTATGATGGTTCATTTTGCTGAGCCTTGAGGTCAGATGTTGAGGTCATCCCCACCAACAGCGGAAATAATATCCAGAAGGGCATTAATAACGAATCAAACCAACCATGATATCACAGCTTTATACATTGTTCTGACTTTAGCTCTTGTGCCTGGCTTTAAGCAAGGGTGGACTTAGACGTTTCATTATATTGGTGCAAATGTGCATATAAAGGGAGTATGGGGTGTACTGTAAGGGATTAACAGAAATTTTGAGATATTACAGCCACTAAATAAAAGTAAATTGTTTGGATCTTATACAAGCAAAGATATAAGCGATTGTTATTGCAAAATAGTTTTGATATAACTGAATTCAGTTTTACTGAAATATGCAAAAAGCTATAAGAAACCTGTATATTCTACAGGCAGGTGGTGGTGTCCAACAGAATGGTCGAAAGAAAGGGTGGCAAATGAAATTTTAGAAGCAAGAAGGATTTAATGGTAGATAGATTTCAGTTTCTTAAATAATTTTCTGAGAAACATTATTTATATGGATGGCATTATACTGTATAAACAGAATATACAATGTAAATAATAATTATGTACTTCCTAAAAAACGACACAGGTTTAAGCAATTAAGATTTGAAATAAATAGCTAATTTTTACTTAATGATTGTTAAAAGTAAGAATACGTTGGAAGCACCCATACAATTACAAAGTAAGTACAAAAACAAATAGGCAATAAATATATGGCATGCGAAGAAGGGATTTCATGCAAGGTTATTTAAGGTATTAGTAGGCATAGAACTAAAGTCTTCATCTTCAGGAGGCCGTGTAGTGTTGCTTAGTGGACATACACGAACAACAAGGACAGGTGATTTGATATTAATCACAAACTTGTGGAACGCATTGTGATTTGTAATGTGCTCATTTATGTGCCATTCTATGTTCTATGTGAGTTATTGTTATCAACTTTTTAATAATCAAGTGCAGCAGTTTTAATTTTTTTATACAAAATTAGATTTGCATGATTCTGTTAACTGTTGATCAATGAATTAAATTGTTGAATTAGTATCAACTACTTTTGATATGTATATGTTAAATATATTCATACAAATCTAGCTTTTGTGAAAACGACACATTTAATATCTACAATTGTCAATAGGTATGGCTAGTCGGCAACACGTTAGGATTTGGCCCGACTGAAGTTGTTAGCTTTGACATAGAAGAAATTCTCCATTACCAATATGAGATACATGTATATCTTTTGAAGTTATTTGTAAGTTAAACATTTAGCCCATTCCGAAATGCTGCATGATGTTTATGTTACTTTTCCCCAAGACTTATGTTAGCCATACAGAATTAGTGCATACTGTTATCAAAACATTTCAATATATACCATGTGTTTAACAGTCAGTGCCATAACCAACCTTTTACCCCAGTTAGAGTGCAGTCTTAAAAAGATCAAAACCATTTTTGATACCTTCAAGTTGATAAAAGACCGTCACCATTCCAAGTGAAATATTCAAAGATAAGATTTATTTAGAAGTTAAAATTATTCTAAATGTGTTAAGTGGTATTTTTTATATTGTGTGTGTTAGCAACACCACTAAACCTGCTGTCGAGGGAACAAAACGTGGCTGGCCTTAAAGTATGTGGTTTGATACGTTTTCAAGGCCCCTTGACATCATTCCTAGGAGGATAGCCCTGAGGTACATTAAAGTTACAGTATTCACAATATCCTGGTGGACCTTGAGCTCCAGGTGGGCCCTGACTTCCAGGCAATCCTCTCTCTCCTGAGGGACCTCTCTCTCCTTCTCTTCCAGGCACCCCTGCACCTGGAGGTCCAGGAAGTCCTACAACAGTTTCATTGAAGTTAGAATATATTTCCAAACTCACACTAGTACTCATTCTCAAAACACAGAGATCCAAGACTCCTTTGTTTGGAATAATGATTTTGCTATTATCCTCTCTGAAAAGTTATACAACTATGGCATTAATATGAATGAAGTACATGTACAATTTTTTTCTCTAGCTGTATAGCTCACCTGGTACGCCTCTTGGTCCTCGCATACCAGCTTTTCCATAACCAACTTCACCTCTCTCACCCTTTGGTCCTTGTGGGCCTGCAACCATTAACATTTTGCCAAATTATATGCAAATTTGTATGGCTCACTTTGGATTTGTACATAGTTTGTCTGTAAACTTTTGAAGTAGGGAAAGAATTTTAGGGAATCAAATCTGTTGGTAAATTACTAATGCAAACATCAAAATAATATAATGGTGAGTTTTAAACATGCAACCTACCACAGAACATCAACTTAAATAGTAAGAGAATGCAATTAAAGTAAACCACATTCATTTTTAGTATTCCTTACATAAAAGTACTTAAGCTTTAACTGAAGTGTTAAACTACAAAAGCTAAAATATATTTGGGTGTGTATATTACTACAACTTAGAGGAAAGCAAGAATGCCTGGTTGATAATATGAATTTTTGAAGAAATGTGCATATTTTATCCATACTGTTTATAACATGTTATAATGTGCTACTTGTATCCTAGTAGGTACTATAAATAACTCCGTGTTCTCCCCAGGATTTTTAGTCCAAAAATTCTAATTTTCTCAAAATCTACCAGTGTTTCATAATTTTCTCTTGTACAAGTGGGTGCAAGTTGAAAAAATAAAAGTTAGAACAGCACCCACTTGGCTTAATGTTGAGGAGATCACTGCAACTACAGGTAAGGTAATTCCTGTTGACCTATGCAACATGCATACATTCCACAAGATGTAATATGCTATGGAAAAGGCATGCAGGCAATGCGCAACATGGGGCAAGTGACCCTAAGTGCACAAAGAAGACAACTGTATACATGCAAGATCAATGTTTTCAAACAAGCAATGCTTAACTAACAATACATAAAATATTATGTTCAGATAACATGCAGCATTTTCTAGGAAACAATAAGAATGTATGGGTGAGGTATAGACATGCTAGTTTGTTATCAAAGGGACAATCAATTAATTAATTATACAGATTAGGAAAATTGACATACAAATTGTGTTATAAAAGAGACAGCGTCACAGTCCCTGCACAAGAGAAGATCAGTCATATTCAAGTATTGTACATCCAATTCATTTCATCATTCAGAAATCACCAGTGATATTATCCAACTCAAAAGCATTGCAACATTTGATGTTACTCATACTAGACAATATACCATTGTTCATATATTCATTGTATAAATTTTCCAATTTACCGTTGATTTCCTCAATTTCAATGTGCTTTTTAAGTGAATGGGGATTTTTCCATTTTTCACATTTGTCTGGTTTTGGAAAATGAACCAATTGGTTTTGTAATTGACAAAATATTTTCGTTTCCCAGGAATTATTTAACAAAATCCATTGAAGTTTTTGGAAATTTTCTGGTAAAACATCTGTTCTCTAGATTACATGTAATTACGTTTTTATGGAATAACTTTCTCAACTGGTCATTTAAGAACAATTATTACAACCTTTGTAATTGTTGAGTATATTCGTTTTAGTGAAGTGTTCATTATTCCAGAAATATGAGCAATATTGTATTTCCGGATGTATATCACATTGATTATGGTACTGTAATGTAAATGCTACAACCCTTTTAGTGTTTGGATATCACATTGTAAGCTGCAGTGCCGCCATCTTGTTACATGTGTGTTTTGTTTCTCCCCAGTCATCCTGACATCACAGGTACATGTACATTACTATTACAATTCCATGGCAACTTGGTTATGATCATACACAACCAAACAAGTACAACTTCATGGCAACCAGGTTGTTATCATACACAACCAGACAACTAAGACTCCATGGCAACTAGGCTATGATTGTACACAACCAAACAGGTATCTACAAGACCATGGCAACTCAGGTTATGATTGTACACAACCAGACAACTACAAGTCCAAGTCCATGGCAACTAAATTATGATTATCCTGTGAAGAAGGATAACCATAGCATGCAACTACTGTGAATGACACATCTATGGTATTGTTGTATGTCATGTTGGAAAGGACGTATCATAACATACAACAAATGGGGTATGTATGTCGGGTACTAGTGGTGATTTAATTATTGTTTATGGATATATCTGGTTAGATTAAGATGAAAGGTTTGTTGGGACCATTCCCCAGATGTGCCACCATCCATGTCTACCTTGGTATCCTGTTGGCCCCTCTGGGCCTGGGGCGCCAGGGAACCCTGTAAAACCTCTTTCTCCCTGCATCCCTGGTGGACCTGGATCACCTGTGGAACATATTAGTCAAGCCTGGTTAGTTTTACAATATAAAACAAGGAAAGTGTCACCAGAGGAGGGGGTATATGCATGGGATTTAAAGAAGCACCCAAAAGCATTAAAAAATCTTATACTGATGTTGCCGAATCACCCCTGGAGTATAAGAATCCCATTTAATTGTGCTTCCTCTCTAGTGATATTTGCCATACCTATCCCCATTTCAGCTTGTTGGTGCTTCTTAATTAGTTAAATTGGTGACACTACCCTGGGTGGTTCATATCTGCATGTTACCTGGGGCTCCTGCTGGACCAGTTTGGCCTGGTGCCCCTGGGAATCCTATCAAACCTCTCTCTCCCAAGTCACCAGGGGGCCCTCTGTCACCTGTAATAATAACATACTCAACCCAATATGCACATACAGTCTAATTATTGTATAACCTTTAAACAAATAAACAATTTTTGTAATAGAAATAATGCTTCAAATCTAATTTATATAGCTATTTGTTTGATTTAAATTTTAACTATTTTGAAAGGTTCTGTTAGATTAAAGCATCTTTGTCACTGTAATAGTAAGCTGGGTTTCCTGGAAATAATCATATAGCATTTCTATATATATTAAAGCAACAATTTTATCAGCCAATATGCATTCTTATGAGGATACCCATGAAAATAGAAACATTTAATTGTACAGGTACATTCAAAGCTGTATTGTTAGAAGTGGTATGCCTCTCTTTGAAAATGGTCATTTAGGTGATGTATTAGTTTGTTTCATTTTCACGGTTTTAAAATGTCTGTTTGTTTTGGGGTAACATATTAGTCTGTTTCATTTCTATAGTTTTGGGGTGTCTATTTGTTTATTTTTATTCCCATTTACTCCCACTTACTGACACATATATTATTACTGAGGATTATATATAAAGCTAATGTTGATGTTACATTCAATGGGTTTACACTGAGGCTGATTGATTTTTTGGTGTAAGCATTTCAATATCCATATTTTTCCTAGCCATTAGTGAGTTAAATCTATCATCTTTCCTAGGTTCTGTTCTGCTATTAAATAATGATGGTCAGTCTAGCAAATAGCATATGGCCGCCGCACTAAGACATATACCTGGACTCCCCTTCTTTCCTTGAGGGCCCTCTCTCCCAGGCTCCCCACGTCCTGGGGGCCCCGGAGGACCAACTCTAGTAGCTACCATCTCTTCCAGTTTTTCTGCAGGGGAGAAAATATAAATCAATGAAATCATATATTATCAAGATTTACCTGGAATTCCCTGTTTTCCTGGTGGGCCAGTTCGGCCCGGACGACCAATCCCTGCTGGGCCTGCTGGACCCTGTAGCCCTGCTACTAAGTCTTCCAGTCTCTCTGTGTGGTATAACAAAGCAATTGCATATATCCACTGAATGCTTTTTCTATGTCCTGACATGTTAGGACATGATATATATTAAGAGAAGAGAAAATCATGGGTGATATATTTAGCGTCTTTGTTCAGGGTATTTATTCAACATGTGTAGAATATTTTACTTGCCGAGAAATTTCAGATCAAAAACATATTGTGATATTTAGTATCTACTTACCTCTGAGCACCTTGAAACAAATCTCCTTCACCTCGTTCTCTGTTACACTGCGTCCCTAATTATTTAGTACAAGGAATAAAGCAATATTTGGATTAATAAAATGCAAATAAATTAAAATCAAAGAAAAGGGGAATATACTGATTATTGAAAAGGTGAAACACACATTACTTAAATTTAACTATAAATTAATATTAAATACAGATGTTTATTTGAAGTTAAAACCAAGAAGAAAGGGGTTCCATTATCACTAAACAAGCTTATATTTTGAAATAAATATGACGGAAGCAGATTCATATCATTCCTTAGACTTATCTATTAAGAAGTCACTGTAAAACACATTTCATTTGTTTTATTAAAAGTGTTAATTATGTTACCTGCTGATTGCCAAATATGGTAAAGGAGTATGCAAAGCTACTTTAACATGTTAGTTTGGGTCAACTTAATTATGCGTTGGTCAGGATTATTCTCTCTAAGGGATCATGGAAGTTTTAAAATAATCAAAATGGAATGATGAGTAGTTATTCTATATTTGGCTACTTGTATTAACAAGCATATGCGTACATACAGCACATTATGGTTGACAGCTTTGTTGAAAGCTGCTGCGCAATGTCTCAATCTGGAAATGAAAAGCCCAGCTATAAGCTCAACGCAATATACATTTGCAATTTCAAGCAGAAATGCAAGGTTATCTGAGAAGAGCAAATCCCAATTTAATGTAAGGCATTTAGAGATCGACCCTGTGTCTTACTAGCTACCGCAACTACCTCTAAGGAAGCAGTCATTTTGTACAAGATTGATGAGTGTTTTATTTTTGCTAATTATAGGATATTATTGATAAACACTTCAACCTTCTTGTACTAAATGGGTTGTCCCTAATGTTAAAACCATAACTTAAGGCATCTTTGAAAATTCACAATAATGAGTCCTAAGATGTGAATTTTGAAAATTCACTTGTATATTTCATTTTTTACTTTACTAAGTGCGAATTTTCAAAGATCACTAATTGAATAGAGTTCCATTATTTAGAAAGCATGCGGTACAAAATCATAAGAAGGTTAAGCTTAAGAAGTGATTATGAATGCTTAAACAACTAAAATAGATCAGAGAAAATATATCAGAAACAAGTGTGAAATTAAACAGATAGCATTATGAATGTAGTTAGGAAGACAAAAGGGGAGTGTCCAACTGTCTTACACTAAGTCAAGATAAACTTACAGGCAACCCTGGAATTCCCGGCATTCCTGGCTGACCTCTCAAGCCACGGGGTCCAGGTGAGCCGGGTGGACCAGACAAGCCGGGCATTCCTGAGGCGCCAGGTGCTCCACTCGGTCCCAACTCCCCCGGTGGTCCTCGAGCACCAGGCTGCAATATTGAGCACACACAAACATTGTAATACATATAAAATAGCATAACCTTCATAACACAGAACACTGCACACTTAATTATCTATCTAAATAATTACAATAACCTACAATCTATCTAAACACTCAGGCCAACAGTTTAAAACATGAACACAATATAACAAATAAAAACAAAACAAAATAATAATTGTGATTCTTCATGGACATTGCAAAAGACAACAGATAACTAGGCAAATACATTTATGACCAAAGAGAATGTAACCCTGAAAATAATTCTGAACTCTATCATGCCATACAGTCAAAAACTTTCCATATTCAAAATCATGCTCATAACATAGAAAGCAATTTTTAATATATAAAGAAGAAAATCAAGATGTAACTTAATATCAAGTAATTTAGAATAGTAAAACTATTGAAATTTACTGATTTTTAACTTTATTTCCACTATCAGAAATGATTTTATACATAATATTCCTATACAGACCATTCCTGGGGGACCATGTGGGCCTGGAGGTCCCTGCAAATATATAAAAAAACATATCATATATTCTTAATGTTCACTGCGATTATTGAAAAAATGGTTTATTCAATTTTTCAATTTATATTAGCCATTCAGATCTGGACAATGTAGAAACCCAGCAAAATGTCTTGTTCCTTCATAGTCTCAATCACACTAACCGGTGGTCCTGATGGTCCATAATTACCAGGGCCTACAATGACATCCAATCCACCCCTTCCAGGACCTTCGCCGTATCCCTATAAAAATGATAGTGTATGATGAAATTTTGTATAATAATTTTAATTAAATAAGAAAATCGCAATCAAAACATTAATTAAATTGTTGTTACAAAGTTAAAAATTATTGTTATTAGTATATGGTCAAAATTGAATAATGATTGAAATTTTCATTAACTCCATCATCCAAAATTATTTTAAAGAATGCTTACATCTCCAGGTTCTCCTTTTTGTCCAAATTGGCCCTAAAAAGAATAACTATGCAATACATATGTGATGTATACAATTTAAATTTAATCTTACACCATAGGCAGTAAATTAATTTTTAATACCTGCATGTATATTTACAAGTAGCCCATTTCGTATTATCCTTTTACATATTTATTTTTGTATTCATTAATTATTCTAAAAACATAGTGGTTGATTTTTTTTATGAAGTACATTTAGACCTCACCAAATTTCATGTTCTGAAAATATTTTAGACTCATTTTTTATGACAGTAAATAAGCTGGTTTATAATTTTTGGTTTCCTGTTCACATACAGGAGTTCCAGGTGGTCCTGGTAGTCCTGGTGGTCCCATTGAGCCTGGTGGTCCTTGCAAGCCAGGGGCACCCTGCAATCATATTTATCATGTCAGTGACAAACCTATGGAAATACAAAAGGATAAGTTGACCAAAAAGCATTTCTCATTGAAGGACATTGAAGTTTATCTTGACCCACCCTGTATATTATTGGTTCATGATACATTTCCTCTTATTGGGGAGTTGTATGTACAGGATGTCAAATAACTAATTTCAAAAGAATTCACTTTTGTGCATAAAAGCGCATCTATAGTTGAGCTAGTTATCTGAAACTTCTTGTGTGAAGCCTAGTTTTGATGTAAAAATTTGTGCAACATTATCTGGATGTTAAAGCTAAGAAGGGGAAAACATATTTATTTGACACACTGTAGATGATAGTGAAAGAATATATTGATTAAGTGTAAGGTTATTCACACCTGTTGCCCTCTTGGTCCTGGTTTTCCATCTCGTCCTGGTCTCCCATTGGAACCAATGTCTCCCTGTAATGCATATAGTGTATTGTGAACATTGAAATGATTAATATTTACTGTACAGTAAAATCTGAGTATGTTGAACATTTAACATTTAGACTTGTAAATTGTAAATCAAGAATGTGTTTAACTTAGTTTCATGTTTTCTTCTTTTTTTGATTACATGTCCTATTGGTACTTGTATATACAGGTAACCCCAACCTTATATTAAGTGGGGTTTCTATATATTGACAGCTGTGGAGAAAGTTAATTATGGCTGTTGGAGGTTGGTCATATTTATATAAATGCGTTCAGAATATTTCAGTGAACCATTTCCTCATTCCATGTAAATACAATTTTGGTAGATTCTGCAGTTATGAGGATTAAAAAACAATGTACATATGCAGTATTCATCAATCAAGTATGAAAAGTTTATCAATGCCTATATATTACATTTCCAATTGGATTCAGTGGAACAATAAAATTTTGATAAATAATAAAAGGGGAAGGGAGCTAATAAAGTCTTTCCACAACTGTCACCATTTGGACATAATCTTCAACAGATATTTTATGTATTGGCATGCCTATTGTTAATACACCATTAATGAATTCCCTGTAACATAAAGCTTTAGCTTATTTCAATTATTGAACATTCGCTTTACTGTGATTTAGTAATAACTACATGTTTATACCCACCCTGGGTTACCGAGCCAATGACATTTATCCATATCAGTAGGCAATATTGATTTGCACTTAAAAAAAATATGGCCTCATCACACAGAAATGTAACTAGTGTTCAACAAGAGGGTGGTACTATAAGTTATTCAATGATTTGAGTGAAATTCAGAAAACATTCTGCCTGAGAAGGTCTGTATTTCACAATGAGCTAGCAGAGAATATTTTCTGTATTTCACGAGAAGTTATTAAATAACCTTTTTATTCCATGATTACTCAGATAAAACTCCCCAAAAATCAAGTCCATTTCCTTGGCTTGACTGGAAAAACAGATGAACCTACTCATTGTTGTTTGCTTTTATTGTATTATAAGGTACGTTTAATTTTTTGTCTTTTCTCTTCAATTTCATCAGCTCAAAGTGTAGTGTAGCGAAACGTTTTTTCGACGTTCGTCTGCCATATTGGATTTTTACTACTTCATGAAAACAATGTGCATGCTTCAAATTGATTTCTGGGGCATTAGGATACTGGACCGTATCCAAATGCTGAAGTCATTTTCACTCTGTATCCAACGCTAAGTGGAAAGTGCGTGTAAATACAATATATATATTTTAAGTCGCATGGACCAATCAGATTGCAGGGAATTTCACCATCATGGAATAATATATAGTATTATACTATATGCTAGTATTATATTATTTGCTCAATTGAATTGATTGTGCTTTCTATATTTGATTCTAGAAGGAATATTTAAAAAGATCTTTCCTCCTTGGTTTACACTTAATACATGGAAAATGCTACAACAAAAAATAATGGATTGGCTCTGTAATGCAAAGTGTGAAGTATTATTTATATTATACATTACACTACAATATCTATGTAACATCACAGCACCATGAACATTATGAACAATGGATTTAGATTTTGAATGTTTATTGTTGTTGTTGTCTATTAATCATCTGCATTAGAATTGTAACAAGGACCTTGATTCTTTGATTTATAACATACATGACTTTTTTTGTTTGCTGATATGGTATAAAAAAAGTATAATGCCTCTAATGGTACATACATCGGGTCCATAATCATAGAATCTTTGTTCTTATATCTTAAGTATTACTTATGTCAAACACATCTCACAATGTTCGCATTCTCTTACAATGGCAATTAAGTATAATACCGGATTCTCAAAAGATCACTGAAATTAGTTGCATGTTAGCATTATTGTACCTTTGCAGCACTGAAGCCATTTTGTATTCAGCTTAATATTAGCATATATTCCAATTAATGATTCCACCTTCACATGCTTGTTGTATGATGTTTACTCCTTAGAATTAATATGACATAAGACAATATATTAGAAGCTCATGAATATTAGATATTGTAGATTTAGGATGCACCTCAACCAATGAAAACATTAGACATTAGAATGAGTAGTATTATTGGAATTATTTCATATGCCACAGGCAATTAATCTCACTTTTCTGCCTCTGCGACCTGGTGGTCCTTCAGGCCCAGATGGACCCTCAACACCCTAAAATAAAAAATATACGACATAAATGGAGTGAATGAGATGATGAGATGATAGTAAAAGTTATAAAACTACCTTTTCTCCATCATTGCCTTGTTCTCCCTTTGAACCTTGTCCACCCTTCTCACCCTGAAACAGTTCACATTAACAAAAGCAATTGTAACTTGAGCTTTGCAAGATATAATCTATGCATTTAGTTATATCATTAACTAATGAATAATATTCTTTTGTTATTCTGTTATGTTCCTCTGGTTGCATTATTTGATCTTACTGGAAGACCCTGTGTTCCTCTGGCACCTTCAGATCCCTTCATTCCTGGTGGTCCTGGCTCACCACCTTCACCTTTCATCCCTTCATTACCAGGAGGGCCTGCAAGACCATCAAGACCCCTTTTTCCTGGTGGCCCTGGATCTCCGCTATCTCCTCTAGCTCCCTGGAATTAGATAGTGGGTGAATACCTCTGTCAGTACTCTCTGCAGTGAATGAATTGTTTGGGGTACTTATTGTTGGCTAGTATGCCCTTCATTATTGACTTGACAAAGGACTACAGCAAATTTCAAAAGGCAACAGGGGATGTTTAGTTATATTAATATTATGATAGTCTTATTCATTCATATGTTTGACATCATATTCATACGTAATTTGATATGCATATACATACATATGCATATGTACATACTGTAGATTAACATCTATATTCAGCATCATGTCCAGTCTACAATATTATAATACCACAAATTTTTCAGGCAAGATAATATACAATATACAGTGCACAAATAACTAAATATGTTATTTGGATTTTCTTACCTTTTCACCATCTTTCCCTTCCCTTCCCTCTTTTCCTTCTCTAGCCTGAAATACAAGCTCAATAGTTAAGAGGCGTTTAAGTAAATTTTAATGTGAGATTAATAAATGTATTATAATCGACATGTATGTATAATATATTTACTGTATTTCTTAATTTAAATTTGAGATTCAATGCTATACAGTTTACAGAAAAATATAAACTACAACTCTAAGCAACAGCCTATAAATAAACTATTGTCATTCATAAAGGAATCACACACTTCCTCTATTGTCAAAAAAACTATTGTAAAGCCCTCAAAGAGATAACTTTGCCCTTTGATGTCATCTTCTTTCAACTCTCGTGTCTCAGAGAATGTAATGCAAAAGAATAGATGGAGGAAATCATTCTTGGGTATTTCACACTGGGTTTATAATCTCTCACATTCAGGTACTTGGTCTGGTTTGACATGCCAACCAAGTTCAAATTGCAGTCATAATGTAATCACATCTACAAAATGCATATTTTTTATTCTTTGTTTCACAAAAGAGCATGATTTCCTTTTACTTGGAATACTGATATTTCTGTAGTTTGAATTTGAATGAGTGACAATACAGTTATCATCCATATTCAACTAAGAATATACCAAAAAGTTTACTTTGACTACATTCATGAATATTGTAGCTGATACCTAAACCATGCATTGGGTCTCAAAATCATGCTTTTTGAGGTATATATAGCCAGCTGGACATGAAACCATATTCTAAGACGAAACGACCAGGCTCACCATATACTGCTGGGGTACATGATCATGAGGCTCTTTATTTCGATTATACACCTAAGATGCATTCATAAATATAATTGCTTGCACATGTCTACCAAATACCTCATGTTCTAAAGAATATATCAACTAATGAATTTCATGCTGTCTAGTATTGTGTAAATCTTTCAAGTGGCCTGGACAAACTTGCATATAGAAAGTGTTTTGGATAAAATGCACTGCTATGTTTGCTGTTAGGAGCATGGTCAATATACTGTATATATAGTAGATATTTTCTTTCTTATGTATAGTCTGACATTGAGTTTGGTAGAGACAAGAAACTAGGACTTTTTATTTTAAATCCTTACATTTTCTTAGTTTAAAATCAAATGTTACCTCCAATTTTGTTATAGCATCATTGATTCGCTCATCCAGTCTATCGTCACTTATTACTCCTGGGTTTCCCTTAAATGATACATCAATACATAGTTATAGTGTTTAAGCCATTTGTCTTCAGTCAGCAAGATATTAGTCATACATTGCTGATTACTAAATAAGATTTTGGATTTTATTATCACACCGAACAAAGTTTTTTTCATGATTAATCACAGTATGTACAATAGTAGGAATTTTCATTTTTTGTCTATCTATGATAACTCAAATACCAGTTGGCAGCTTCAAACTCAATAGCATATGGGCTTCATAGTGATGAAAGTCCTGAAAGAGACGCTTAGGAGGGGTTGGCCCCAGTGCTAATTTCCCTGATGTGATATAGATACAGATATAGATAAATCATATACAGATATAGATAAATCATTATAAATACCATTAATGGAATTTAGTCCAAATTTCATAGGCTTATGTCTATGGCTCAAGGAGGCATTTTCAATATGGCCACTGATTTCAAAATGCCTGCCCTTTTTTATAGAAAATGTATTCTTTGATAATTCAAATACCAGTTGATATATTTGGTTCAAATTTTATAAGCTGATTGTTTAAGCACATCGGAACTTTCAAGATGACTTCTCATTTCAAAATGGCCACCACTTTTCATGAAAAAATGGCGGCCATTAGATTTAGATTTATGCATATGTATTAATAAAGTAAAATGGACAAACAAGAAATATCAAATATTTAAGAGTATGTATAATATATATAGCACAGAGGTATTCTTTAGCATATAAGACCAACAAGTTTATGTCTTACCTGGTATCCCCTAGGTCCTCTCTGCCCGGGTTGTCCAGCTATTCCTGGTTTGCCATCTTCCCCTGGTCGGCCTGGTATTCCATCATTTCCAGGCTGGCCATTTCTGCCTTGGATGCCCTAATAGGGAAATCATATCATGTAAATGTTATAAGGCACATTTTTGTTCATGTTGATAAAAAGGATCATTATAAATAATTATACCCCTTACAATTTCTTTTCATCTTGTCTTGTTATTACCAGTTTATTCAGTTTGTTGATTCTTCAGCTTTGGAAAGACTTAAACTTACTGGTTTTCCTCTTTCCCCAGTCACTCCCTGGGGTCCAACTGGTCCTGGTATGCCCTTGAATCAAATACATCAGCAATGATTTTTATATGAATCTAAATCACTAAATAGAAAATCACATATAACAATTCAAATGTAATAAAGCATGGCTAATATTAAGTATACTCACATCTACACCTGGAGGCCCTGGTAAGCCTGGGACTCCAGGTTCACCAGAATCTCCTTTCATTCCTTGTTCTCCTATGTCACCTCTAGGCCCTGGCTCTCCTGTTGGTCCTATTGGACCCTCGGCTCCCCTCTTTCCTGGCACTCCAGGTGGACCTGGTGGTCCCTGAAACAGAAATGCATGTAGATTAATAATGCATGTTGAATACATCTAATATCTTAACTTTCTCATGATAAGGGGTCATTTCTAAGTTATTGGTATTAATGCAAATAATTATCTCTTATTTGATTTCATTTGATTTGATGGTCTAGAACTTGAAAACCTTTTGATTTGATGTATAGTTGACATATGCCTTAAGGACTCTCAATAGATGGAGAAAAATTCAGTTTTTTTTAAATTTTAAAATACTTGAACATGTATCAATTACTTCAAAAATCTTCTTAAAGAGGCACTGTCTTATAGGAGCGCAACTGAAATTCTTTATATGTGTACAAAATATTTTAAATTTCACAGTCTAATGTAGTTGGCATTTTTACAAAATTCAATTACGGGTGGTGATATTAGTTTCCTTTTTATTTTATTTTTGTTTTCTTAATTTCTGAACCAAAACACATTTTTGATAGTTATCTGTTTGTCACCTAGTCATATTTATTACTTTCAATCGTTTTAAAATACTTGTAACAACAAACCGATTGTATGTTGCTTTAAACTAATTATCCCACCGAACGAAGTTCGAGGGGATATAGTCTGTTTGTCTGTCCGTCCGTTCGTGTGTCCGGGCAATAACTCAAATACCGGTAGACGGATTTCATTCAAATTTTATTGGCTTATGCCTTATGGGTGTAGGACCTCCGCTCGAGAAAGGATTTTTAATATGGCCGTTAAATTCAAAATGGTGGCCATTTTTCTGAAAAAATATAATCTTTGATAACTCAAATACTAGTGGATGGATTTGGTTCAAATTTTATATGCTGTTGCCTGGGTACAAAAGAACTTTGCTCAAGAAGACATTTTCAAGATGGCCACCAAATTTCACAATGGTGGCCAGTTTTCGTAAAAAAATTTATCATTGATAACTCAAATCATATACAGGTTGACTGATTTCATTCAAATTTTGGGTGTAGGTCCTTTGCTCGAGAAGAATTTTCAATATGGCCACTTAATTTAAAATGTCGGCTATTTTTCTGAAAAGATATAATCTTTGATAACTCAAATATTAGTAGATAGATTTGGTTCAAATTTTATATGCTGTTTCCTGGTTACAAAGGAGCCTTGGTCAAGAAGACATTTTCAAGATGGTTAAAATGGTGGCCATTTTTCGTAAAAAAATGATAACTGAAATACCATTGAATGGATTTGGTTCAAATTTTACATGCTGATGCCTAGGGACATAGGAGCTCTGCTCGAGAAGGGATTTTCAAGATGGCAGCTTAATTTCAAAATGACTGCTTTTTTCATAAAAGAACGCAAACTTTGATAACTCGAATACCAGTTGATGGATTTGGTTCAAATTTTATATGCTGATGCCTAGAGACAAAGAAAAGAAGTTCAGCTCAAGAAGACATTTTCAAGATGGCCACTAAATTTCAAAATGGCCGCCATTTTTCGTAATCATTGATAACTCAAATACCAGTGGATGGATTCGATTCCAATTTTATATGCTGATGTTTAGGGAAAAATGAGATCTGCTTCAGAAGAAATTTGAAAGGCGTGAGCTGAATTTCAAAATGGCTGCCATTTTTTATAAAAAACCGTAATCATTGATAACTGAAATATCAGTGGATGGATTTGGTTCCAATTTTATATGCTGATGTCTACCATTGTCTAGGGACAAAGGAGATCTGCTTCAGAAGAAATTTCAAAGGGGTCAGCTAAATTTTAAAATGGCTGCCATTTTTCATAAAAAGGGTAATCTTTGATAACTCAAAGCAATATTTGCACATAAACCAATGGGATGGGTAACACACAAGTGAAGGTTAGTGAACTTCCATCTGGCTTCCATTATGAATTCATGTAAAATAGTATTTACCTCCACAATAACTTCATTAGGTCCATCAGGTTCAGTCACAATTTTCCCAGGGAGCCCCTGAAACAACACTTATAAATGAGTATAACAGTTCACCGTGAGATCTAAATCCAGTATATTTATTGAGGATATAATGAATCTATTTACATCAAATCTTGGACTGAGATGGTCACTATCATCATATTAAACAGAGAATGAAGTGAAATAGTAACCATTACACATGTATATGACCAATTATACATGTATATGAGCCATTGTAATATCAGTTTTTAGAATTATACTATTATATGTAAAAACCAAGAATCTTGCATGCAGCATACAACAACCTTAGCAATACTTCACAATATCCCAGACAGGAACAAGTTTAGCTTAAGAGTGATACTTACTGGAGGACCTGGTGGGCCAGGGTCTCCGGTGTTCCCAGTTCTCCCTGTTATTCCAGGGTCACCCTTTGCACCTCTTTGCCCTGTTCTTCCAATAGCGCCTGGTGTACCTGGTTTACCCTGGAGAAATACAGCTATATCGTAATTCAGTATTATATACTGTAAAAGCCCAAATTTTCGCTGACAAAAAATTTCACTATTTTGTCAATCTGAGATGTTTCATTGGCATTGAATTTCACTCTTTGAAGAAATATCCAATTGAATTCAATGTTAAAACAAATTTTCACTGTGGCTTTAATTTCACGGTCTAGCCTCTTCAGCAAAAATAGTGGAAATTAGGGCACCTTGAAAAATTGGACTTTTGCAGTAGCCTGTACAAGAGTGTTTATCAATAGTGCCTCAAGAGATTGAGTTGGGACAATAAAATGATATGCATATAGTTATATATCACTCATCAAGCTTCTGTATTGTTCTTACTTCTGTCTACTGGATATTAGAGGATGACATTACTTACTCGATCTCCAATGGGTCCTGGTGGTCCAACAGGTCCTGTCTTTCCTGGCCGACCCTGAAGGCCTGGTGGCCCTACTGGCCCTGGATCACCAGGTAAACCAGCAGGACCTGTAACCTGTTCACAACAGATATGTTAGAGCTCATAAAGTCAAAATAGAAAATCAACCCCTTAATTATCATAAATATGATCTGAGCAAGATTTTCACATTTTAAACAGTGTTTTGTATTTTACCATTGTTGAATGTTGATCTTAAATGACAGGTCAAAAACTTATTCAAAAAACATAAAGATGTTACCTGGTTGTTGTACTTACAGTTGTCTGAAACAGACAAAAATGTTTATGTCAGTTCATAGTATAAGGTTTGCAACTAAATATTATCTTCCAATGTGGATACTTATGAACACGCCTAGAAATAATTTCAAATTGGAAATAAATGGAGGTGAGAGTAGCTGATTTCTGCAAGAAAATTCAACAAATAAATAATAATCAAAATTATACAGCTCAAGACAGAGGGGGAGAAACACCAGGGTTCAAAGATGACATACGCTTATAATGTAAATCTGTATTGAGATGACATCGTCGCTGATTGGTCAAAAGTCGACAAACAAATGACGTCATCAATGGCGGTTTCAAAATTTTCGAAATACCCTTCGAATAATATTATGTTCATTTCTGGCGTGTTAACCAATATCATAGCTTCTCATTTCACATCAAGATAAAGAGAGGTGTACGGAATATGCCTATATCAATTAAAACATCCCATCGAAGTGTAGTATTTGATAACTAGCCGATGAAAATTCGAACGAACGAAGGTGCTAAGCAAGAGAGGTAATTATGTCTGTCATCTTGAAACTCTGGGGCTTTCCCTCCTCTTAGCTCAAGAAGAGCTTTTCAAGATGGCTGCTGAATGTCAAAATGGCCGCCAATTTTATAAAATAAAACAATGTAATCTTTGTAATGTAAACTCGCATACCAGTGAATGGATTTGGATCAAATTTTACATGCTGAGGACACAGTAGTTCTGTTTCCGAAAAATTTCAAGATTGGGGCTGTATTTCAAAATTGCTGCCATATTTTGGAAAAAATGTGATCTTTGATAACTCAAATACTAATGAACAGATTTGGTTCAAATGGTGGGTTCAAATTTTATATGCTGATGCCTAATGAAACAGTAGCTCTGTTCAAGACAGAATTTTCAAGATGGCAGCTGAATTTCAAAATGGCAGCCATTTTTCATAAAAGAATGTAATCTTTGAAAGCTCAAATGCCAATTGACAGATTTGGTTCAAATTTTATGTATTGATGCCAAGGGACAAAGGAACTCAACTAAAGAAGGCATTTTCAAGATGGCCATTGAATTCCACCATCGGCCACCATTTTTCATAAAAGAATGTAATCTTTGATAACTCAAATACCAGTGAACAGATATGGTACAAAATTTATATGTCGATGCCTAGGGACAAAAAAGGTCAGCTCAATAAATAATTTTCAAGATGACGGTTAAATTTTAAAATGGTTTCAGGACAAAGACGATCTGGTTGAGAGGAAATTTTCAAGATGAAAGCTGAATTTCAAAATGGCCACCATTCTTGTAAAAAATCAAATATTGGTTCAAATATTATATGCTGATGCTTAGAGATCAAGGAGGTCTGCTCAAGAAGATATTTTCAAGATGGCTGCATTTTCAAAATGGCTGCCATTTGTCTTTAAAAACGTAATCTTGGATCTTAAATACCGGAAGACAGATTTGGTGTAAATTTTATATGCTGCTAGGGACAAAGGAGAAGAAATTTTCAAGATTGCAGCTGAATTTCAAAATGGCCGTCATTTTTGGATAAAACATAATCTTTGATAACTCATATACCAGTGGGTGGATTTTGTACAAATTTTATATGTTTATATGCTCTGTTCAAGAAGAAATTTTTGAGATGGCCTGACTCATTATCAAAATGTGTTTTGTTCGGTGGGATTTGCAACTCCGCTGTCATTTTGTGATGATTACTTCATCTATATGCATTTATCACACGTTGTGTAGACTACCATTCTTTGATTTATAACAAGAATATTGAAGAAGCGTATCAGTTAAGAAAAATCATAGAAAACTACAGATTTTAATTTTGCCATAATGTTCACCTATTCATTTAGTGATATTTTTGTAAATTTTCTAGCAGAAATGGGCTACTCCTTCCCCCTTCCATTCATTTTTTCCAATTACCAATTGTGATAAAGTTAATGCTAATAATTAAAAAAAATGATGAAAATAAAACTTTAAATAAGTTTAACTCACTGTGTCTCCACGTTCGCCTTTTAACCCTGGCACTCCATCTCTTCCAGGTGCTCCATTTTCACCCTAAAATAGTTTGAGGTTTTTATCAACATCAAGAGGTTTTTACTCTTTAATTACCTCTGTATGAAACAAATAGTTGGTGCATTTTGGTGATATAAGTGAAGATGGCTGGATTACATACATAAATTGTAAAGGTTTGTAAAAGAACCACTTTAGTGAAAATTCTGTGAATGATAAATCTGCCAATTTGGGCATTGAGAAATGGCGGAGCACAGTTGTAAAATGATGAAAGAATAATATTTTATTTGTCTTAATTAGTTCCATTGTCATCCACAATGCTTCATACTTACATCAAAGCCTGGCTCACCATCCTGACCTGGGGCCCCAGGATCTCCTGTTTCCCCCTGTGGCATAAAAACAAAGTAAGTCGATTACATGTGCTGAACATTTTTTGTTAATACTACTAACTACCATCATTCTAACTTTTCTTGTTCAAGTTTTTATGATCATCATAAGTAATTAGATTTGACATGCTAGTAAATATACATGTATTTGCAATGAAGTGATAAACATATGATTTCATTTTCAAAGTATATGTTATATCAATGCATTTTAAATGTTTCTTACCCTTGGCCCTGGTAGACCAGGAGGTCCTGCTACACCCTGGGGTCCAGATTTACCCTGAAACATTAACACGCATATTGATTAACGGATATGTATACAAAAGGATTTGAAAGGTGATATCTAAATGCAAACATATACACAAAATAAGTCTTACCTCTGCCCCCCTTGGGCCTGCTGGTCCTGTTGCCCCTGGTACACCTGACTCACCCTGCAATAACATCCCATATTAAGGGGCCCATTAAGTAACATTTTAGAATACACAAACTTATATATCATACTGCTTAGGGGCAGGTCAATTTTCATGTAGCTTTCAAATATGAATCCAGCATAGATGAACAAAGTAATCATTTTCTGAATTTTTTTTAACATGTATGATAACAGAAATTGAAGTTACTCCTTCCCCAAAACATAACTAATAAAAAGTAGTTGTTTGATAGCTTATATTGATATATTAACCTAAAACGCCCACTTCTAATATTCCAGATTCTCCTATCCTATAGACATTTTAAATGTTAAGTTAACATTTCGCAGGTGTCTTTACTCAACTTTTTATATTAATATAAAGTCTCACCTCTCTACCACGAGGACCCTCTGGTCCTATGTCACCTGGAATGCCAGCATCCCCAGTGAGACCTGGTAATCCTGGTGGGCCTGCAGCTCCTCGTTCTCCCTTCATACCCTGTAATTTGAGCAAATTGAGTCTGGGTGTATCATAAAAAAGTGTAACCTTGAACTGTGTATGAAAAAAATGTGTATGAAAACTGTCAACTTGTATGGAAAAAAGATTGAAATTAAATAATATCTGTAATATTGCATTTTTATGCTTAAGATAAAGATTACTTATTTCAAATAAATACAGACAAACATATAGGACTAGCTCAGGCCAAATTTCCATAAACTTAAGACACAACAACTTGAGACTCCAATGCATTTGTAGTCTTACCTGTGTACCATTAAAGCCCCGAGGCCCCCGAGGGCACACTACTGGACATTTATCACCCTCTTCTCCAGAAGGCTAAAATAAAACATTTCCTTCATATATGAATTAGGTGTTCATGAATATATGTTTAATACACTTATTTGTATCTGTACATGTATGCAGAATGTCATGGATCAACATTTATGCACTAATCATATTATAGTGTTATTGTAGAACAACAGACATTTTCAGATACCCTGTGTCTAGTATCACTGGAGCCATTTTTGCCAATATCATATCAGGTCATCTATAAAAAAAGAAATCCTTCATATAAGCACAGGCAGAATGATAAGGGAATTGGAAACAAAATCTGACATTGTCTGGCAGTATGCACAGGTAGTGTAGATGATTTCCAATGCATGCTTTTGATTTGAGGTTTCTTATACATGAATACCTTATTGGTACTCTCAGACTCTGCCATTCTGATTTACCATACCCAGTCTTATTTATCACTTAAGAGAAAGAGGGTGTGGTTATCATTATCGAGCCAAGCCTTTTATATGCATTCACAAACACATATCAATGCACCAGTTGAAAATATCATAGCTCCCGCATATGCTTAATCCTCTTAGTCCATAGGCCAGCTGGTGTCATTCGGAAGACCTGGAATGTTGCTGTCAATAGAAAGCACAAGCGTCACACCCAAAATGCAATGGTGTTGAGCAAATCAATATTAAAAGCCAATATGAGTATTTTAAGATTAAGCTTATTTTATTATTATTGAAGATTTTTAAAATGTTAGATTTTTGTTAAGATGTTTACTTGTATACAGTACTTGAAAAGTTTTTTATATTGGATTGTGTCGTTGTCCTTACCCGTGGGAATCGTGGTGTTTTCGGACGCTTTGTTCTCTTCTTTTTTGGAGGTGGTTCCTGTATTAAAAACTTGCAAGTCAAACACACCAACTCATTAAGCATTGTTGTACAAGCATAATGATGCACCATGTGGGAAAGAATTCAAGATCAAGAATAATTTTGACCCTTAAATGTATACTATTTCCATTGCATTCCTTCCCAAAGGTAAAGAATAGCCTTATTATCCTCAACCAATTAAAGTTATACCATTTTACTCGAACATACAAGATTAATGAAGGAAAATAGTTCTATTTAGACATTATTCAATGCTTTCCTTGATTGTACTGACTCTATATAAGTATATAATATTAATTAGATGATACAGAGTCCAAGAATTAAAGTAACTGTTGTGCTGAATTATTCAGATAAACAGTAGAGGCACTATAAGGAATTGATGCATCCTCCTCTTCGCATCTTCTGAATTTTTCTACACGGGTTCTTCATATAATGATGGACAATACGGATGAAGCATACTGTATTTAACAGAGTGGGAAGTAAGAATAAAGAGGTTTGGGTATATACGGATAATATACTAGACAAAGTACAATGATGAATGAGTTACAAGTGGAGAAAATATAATATTTTGTAATTTCAGTTGTATTTTTGAAAAACAATAAATTTATTTGAAAAAGGAACAAATGTATCCTGTAATTTCATTAAGTATTAATGAGCCCCTTAGATGATCTCGTCACTTTAATTCTTGGACACCTTGTACCCTGTGACACAAAAATGCCACTCACCCACATAATGTTTTATACCTTTTTTGTATGCATTAGTGTTAGATATTCACAGATATCACACAGACAAAAAAGTAAGGCAACATTATACGAGTATGGGTGGCATTCTTTTGTGTCACCCTGTATATGTTAAATTTTCACTTTTAGAATACCATGTTATAGAAAGTGTAAATATAAAGTTATGGTAATTAAAACTAGATCTACTGCTCACACATTAGCTATTAAGCATCATATTGGTAGGAGATTAACAAGCAAAACTTATATGTTTGCAAAATAGTTTAAATATATAGAAAAAAGTTAAATCATACTTTTAATGCATATATAAATAAAGACAGAGGAATGGAGATATAAACGAAGGGAACACCTGAAAATGTATGCAAAAGTTTAAAAATAAAAATGCAAAATCACAAAAATGAGTCCCTCACTATCTCCTAAGTAAACTGAAAATGGAAATATAACTGAAAATTAACCCTTAATGCCTGCATTCAGGTAATACACTTCGACCAAAAATACAAAATGCCAACAAATATTACACAAACCATACAATTATATTCTGTTGCACCATTATTACAAAACCATAACAAAATAATTAATACATTCACAAAAAGTAACATAACACTTTTTTGTTGAAATAAATAAAATGCAATCGCTAATAATATGGATATAAAAACAATGATTCCATAAAAGATGTTTAATGTATTTTCAATTGACCTAGAAGTGCATGTATAGCAAAGGAAAGAAAATGAAAGGTGTGTACTTTTATTGCTACTTACAGGTATCTCAGCACAAGATTCTCTATCGACCATAGAGGGATCACAGTGCATCATCAGCCACTGGAGATCATACTAAAAATAGAGATGGAATGAAAATTAATGTGAACATATTGTATTTATCAGCTACTAGTTTTTCCTAACCAATTTCAGAATGATCATCCCATTCCTAGACAGATACACTATCAAAAGAACATTGCACTCTGTGTTCATCACTCCTTGTTAAAATAAATGGTGTAACTTTGTATGTTTACCAACATGAGCCATATACCAACTACTTTATTTCTCAAAGGTGCCTGACACTTATATATAACTTCTAAGGTAGACATTTTTCAAACATTAATGGGGAACGCAATGAAAGCATGTCAAATGTAACGAGTTATGTCCCAAGATTGTAACTAATTGCCTCCATTTTAGAAACTTCTGTTTAATTTCTTTGCCAGCATTTCCTTAATTGGTGCAATATACTTGTGTTCAGATCTCTAAAGCACACGCCTTATAGATTGTATTCTTGTGTTCTTTTTCAGGAGATGAAAACATTTTGTGTAAAGGTGGAGATAAGACAATATATGTTAGCATATACCACTAGAGAAGTCAAGAAACAACCTACAAGAAATTTCCCAGTTGCTTCAATTAGTGTGCTCTTTGGGGAGTTTCTTTATCACAACACCTTGGTATTTGCTGTTTAACAAGGTATACAACATAGATGAAAGTGAAATATTTAGAAAACTTCAGATAAACTGTGTAGCTTTGTTAAATTATTGAACAATGTTTTTACTTTTTTGTGTAAATGTTTTCATGCCACATGTTGCACATATTTGCTAGATACTTAGACAAACATGAAGGAGATAATTTATGGAGTCTGAGTTGAGTATGGACCAATTAATACATATGTTTTACTGCATTCTGCCTCAGTTACAGGAGAACATAGATCTTTTTGGCCTATGTGTGTACTTTGAAGCCCAATGAAAAATACATAAAGAACACTTGCATCTACTGTGCTTTCTCATTACATATACCCCAAATATATTTATGATGTTGAAAGGAACCTCCATTTACTTGCCTTAAATATGTATATATGCAAGGTATATTAAATATAAATACATACAGTAACTTACAAATTGTAAATAATTCTGTAGGGTTGAGTAGATTTTGTTCAAAATCAAGACATTTTCTTTGATATATCAAATACCGGAATCTAACTTACTGTAACTGTTTCATCGTTTCCTTCTTTTTTTCCAAGAATGATGTTTCCATTGACATCAAACTGGGAGAATGATGCTGGTTCTAAGGGTAGAGTCTGAATGACGTCACAGTCTATATATATAGTGACCTTGTCTTGAAGTACTTGGAACGACAACTTGTGCCAGTTTTTATCAAATAACTAAAATAAAGAATGATCAGTGGTTCTCTCCTTTGGAAAATACCACTTGTTAAACAGAGAAAACAGTGTTAGTACAACTATAGCAACAATATTTTAGATATGTCCTTTGAGTATTTTTATCTACATATGTACATATTTTGAAGAATTATGTACATGTACACTTTTGTCAACTCATGATCATATTCCTCATGATCATATGGTTATGACTTGAGATATTGCATATGGCCATGTAAGTTATAATTGATAAGTTACCTTTTTATGCTCTTTGCCTTTGAATACGAGAGTCTGTAATTGGTTATTATAGTCTTTTACGTAAAATTCTACTTGTTTGGATTGACCATTCAGGCGAATACCAAATTGAGGCTCTCCAAAAGAATCCTCTACCCTTATTAAATTCCAGGTTTCTCTCCTTGTCTTACTACTCATCCGAAATGTACTGACAAAGGAAAACTGGGTAGGCATACCATATGGAAATAGTTGTCTAGAAAACGAAAGCATTGTTATATAGCGTTGGCTTGACTGGTGCCTGACTTATATTCTATCGAAAAGTTATTACCTGGAGACGCAAGCTCCTTTAGGCATAGCAATCAATGTGTTGCTATAGGATTTGATAACACAATTACTGCAGCATCACATTGGTTGCCTTCAGAACCATTTTGATTGTGTTGATTGAAGTCATGGCAACTGTCTTAATGGTTAGGATATTAGCACATTATAAGGATATTATGAGGTGACTCTCCATCAACAATGCCTTCATCAACGAACCATTCCTCTCTATTTTAGTGAACTGATTCACCAGTTCAAAGCATTGAGGAGAATTCATTTTCAATGATGCATGTTATCTTTGGAAGTAAATGTATTTACTGACATGAGGGGTCACATCATAATATATGTTAGGATTTTTCAAATTGTGATTCAACAGTTTCAGTCTCAAGAGACTTGGAAACATTTTTGATTGTTGAATTACATTTTCTGTATATTATACACTATTATATTGTGTTACATTATTTTAATAACATGTATTTTAACTGTATTTTATTTAATGGTTTTATGACAAAAAGAGCATTAATAACACTTCTTCTACACTGACAGTGACGCCATGTAAACAACAATATGTAACAATCATGTGTACACTTGTGTCAATGTAAAAGGATGTTAAGTATTGGTTACTTGTACAAGTGTGATAATCAAGCTGTCAACATGGATAAGGGCATCTTCAAACATGTCAAACGTGTTCAGGGTTATTGTATCTTGATACAAGTTTCTGTTTCAGCTTAAGTGAATTGTACATGTCATTTATTATACATGTTGTTTATTGTACATGAATGACCAGCATATGTGAGTAATCAGGCTAACCTGAGTATTTTAAATGAATCAAAAAAATATCCAACATTAACATGTTAGAATCTATCAATGTTGACATCTTGGTTTTGCATGCATAGTTTGTACAATAACATTTAACTACACACTACTACTTCTTACATGTTGAAAATAGATTGTAAGTTATGTATTCTATGAGGGTCATTTATATCCTACAAAGGCTACAAAGAGTGGGTAAGTGCATTGCCGTCACTGGAAACTAGAATTAAGCTAAAAATAAACAAAACATGCTTTAATAAATGGCCTAAACAGAATTTTCAAAATATCTCTGGTTTGTGATTTGGAAGATATTTTCAGAATTCTTAGGGTGCAGAAGAAAGATTTACAGTTCTAGATAGTGGTTTAGTCCAGTTGTAGTATTTGTAATTGTAAATAATAAATCTCCCCCATGTATTGTTGTTCAGTTGTAAGAAAGATATCTATGAAAAATTGCGTCTCGTTGTAAAAATAGAACAAGAAATAAAGATGCATTTCAGTTCTCAGACAAACTGGTGCATTTGGCAGTGTTTTACTTAGAACTAGTTTACGAAATTGCAACCCTCTAATTTTATTTTGGTATTTCTTTCTTAACTATCTTTATCATGTCTTCTTGATTTTGGTAGATATATAAGTACTCTTGTAAATTTGTTTTTTGATTTGGAGATTTTTGTCTGCCATTATATGAATTATTCCAGGTTTGCTAGCCTTGCCCAAGTCGGTCTCTTTTACTTATCTTGATTTTTAATCAGATTAGTAAAAAAATACTGATTTGGGCAAGGCTTCAGGTTTGCTTTCCACATACATTTTGTAATAGTGTATTCTATCTACCCAGTTCAATGAAATAACTTTGTAAATTCTGATGAATCAAATTTCTTTTCTGAATATTTGCATTTTGAGTGATTTGTAAGTAAGTTGTTGATGCTATATAAGCACACTTTTTTTAACATGTTTAACACCTTATTTACATAAAGGGTTGCAGTTTGTTTTGTCTCCCTGTACCAGTTTCTGCAATTTATCTGAATTAATGGAAGTTTTAAGTATTATTTAAAGTTAACAATGTAAAGTATATCTTTCACCAATGAAGTATGTGACATGTTATCGTGAATACATCTACAACATTAACATTGTAGTAAAAGTATTAAGTTTGTCACAAATTAGCATCATAAAATGTGTGAATACATATATTATATTAGAAAATTAAAAATGTTTTGTGAAATCTGTTTTATATCAAAAACCTCGAAGCTTTTAAATTGAAGCAAAATTTGATTTATGCGCTATGTAAGCATCATTTACAATTCATGAAGTGTTATCATTTTTTGTGTTTAATCTTGTTATACTACTAAACACATTAACTTCATGGGAGTTATCCTAATAGGTGCAGAATATTTATTTAGTCTAGATTTCAAATTTAGCTTCAAACCATTAAGCAGTTAAAAATTGAGCATAATTATTAGTATGAGAGATTTAGAGACGGTTTTAGAATGTATATACCATTTAGCATGTAACAATTCATTCACATCTCATAATGTTTCAGTTCTTACTGATAACTGTTGACCTCATGAGCAGTGGACTGGATTAATTGTATACCTCCAATATATCAAGGCTTACTGAGACCACAGATGGAGGTCAACAGGAAGATTTTGAGATGATTCAACAGTAGAGATATGCAGTTGTATTGTCCCGACTAAATATTTCATAGGTAAAGAGAAAATATTGTATATTCTCAATTGACCTATAAGCAGATATAAGATAGGTACTAAGAATACAGAATGAATTGAATATGTTACATACTAGTCCACTAGTCTATACATTCAAAGTATAAAGAGAGAGGGTGTATAGAGAGAAGGGGGTCTTTCATGATGTTTAGGTAAGACAATAGGGGATGAGCGCCACAATCAGGTCAGGGTAGAGGGAATAGTCACATGTGTCTAGCCTAGGTATATCTTGGTCTTGTCTCTGCATACACTGACAGTAGATCACTATGGATATAACCTGCTCCTCCCACACACTATTCTATAGTATAGTATTTATTTCATAAATTTCATTGTGTATTTGGGGAAGGCCAGAGATGAGATGTCAGAAAGTCTGATCTGCACTTCCCAGGCTGACTCCTCAGGCCATTCTCTACTCATCAATGTATGCAAACACTGATCATCAACCAGTTTTGAAATCCAGGCTTTTCAATCAATTTTTAATCTTTTCACACAACCCGTAACTTTTATTTTACACATTCCTGAATTTCTAGCCTCAATGGTAATCAGTGGTAAGGTGATATTAGGCTCAACAAGCATGTGACTATTCAGTAATAAAAGCATACATTTCTAATATATGCATGATTACCTGAAAAATGAAAGAAACATGACAGTGAGGTGATACAAGTTCATTTATATAAGAGAAGGAATGTGACATTTCTACATTCTTCTCTTTCTATTCCTGCTTCATTGGACTTTGTATATGAGCTAAAATCAGCGCTATCTTAGACCAATTATTTGGGCTGTCAGTTAGACTGTTACTCCACTCTCTTTCACTTCATTCATTCATTCACTCATTTTTTGATCTCATATTGTATATTAACAATATTTTCTGTGTAAGCATAGTGTTAACTTGACATTATAAGAAATCTATACAGTTATCAGACAGGATATACTTGCCTAGTTGGTATTCTAAGATCGGCTTTTCTACCTATTCTGTAAGCTGTCTGCATATCACTAGAACCTTTAACCTTCTTTACTCCCTGTACTCCTAATATACTGTCCATATCAAATGTAGAAATGAAATCAAATACAGCTGAAAAAAAGATAAAAGTACTTCTTTATATTTTGCAACACCTTTATTTTTGTTAAGTATGTACAAACAACTATAGCCAAATGGTACCTTATTTTGTTCAATGTTCATGTATAATTTTGAATAGAAATCTCAGAAGTTGGCTATTACTGTACATAATAACCTTATTTGCCATTTTCTTTGGTTTGGTATGATGAAATCCAAATTCTGATGTTATTTCCAATGGACCATGTCAATATTTCTGTGTTGTCTCAAAATGGAATTAATTGCTAAGTTTCAGATTGACCTTTTTCACTCCAAATTAAAAGTTGTCTCTTTTAAACTATAGATATGTGTGCGCTAAGAATTCATAGTATATTCTGTCTACCCACTCCCCAAGACTAGGATGAATAATTCTTCATTCTATATATCTACCCCAAACATAATAATTAATTACAAATGTAAAGAAGTACACAAATATATACCAATATACAAATGTATATATGGTCCCTTTAGGCATACGTCACTTTAATTTCTTATATTATATGTAATAAGAAAACATGAAAATCCATATTATTTCAGTTGTTTTTGAAATTCAAACAAATGTGTAAGATTGATTGTTCCCACTTACTTGGCCCCTCGGGATGTAGTTGTACATAGTAGTCGTAATAATCGTACCAAACATAATATCCACTACTATATGATATTATTTTAAAGAAAAGTATCACATAGATATGAAACTGACATTTTTCCATTTTGTTTTTCTTCTTTTCATGTTTTGTTATTGCGTCAATTGAGTATTCACTTCAAAATAACATTCTGACACATGAAGATTATTTACAGGTACGTCGAGTACAAAATTCACGTGAACTACAGGAAAACTGTATACGTCACAGAGAACACCTCATTAAAATAAACACCAGGAAATTAGAACACCTTTTTATTCCGTTTTCAAGCGTCCCGTTGACTCCCATGTTATCATAACCTTTTCATATGATCATCTGTCAATATGTCAACCGCTAGTTGGTCGTCACAGCAACATAAGCTTAGATAAGTTTTACTGTATTATACTTTAAACTACCTGTACACTTTGAAGATAAACTGTTTTAAAGGATTCAACGTTTCGGGCAGATTGCCATGATGGATGCAACAAAAGCGTTTTGAAAACAAAACTTTTTTAAGAGGATCTAAGTATCTTTTTGAACTTTGAGCAATTTATAGTATTTGATCCTGTGACCTAACAGGTGCGATGGTGCATATTATGTTGTCATCCTAACCTCTAGCGATCGTTGTTGACTAAAAACATTAATTGATTGAAATCATTAATGCAGATTCACTCCCACCCTCCAACCATCAAACATGAATTTAAACACTTTAAGTCATTTTTTTAATTTGTGCAATACTGTACAATGTACACAACAAAATCTTTCCCTCTACCCCTACCCCAAAAACGTAATGATTTCACAAATGGCAAAGTACATTGATGAAATATATGTTCCATTGATCATGAAGGTACGTATGGTATGTACTTTAGCTGCAAGATTATGTGGTTTGTGTCTTGTTTAGATGTAGCATAATTGGATCTGATTGACATATACAAACAAATCAAAGAATTGAAAAATTATGTTAAAATACCTTAACGACTGGTATCACATCATAAGAGGCGTGTTGTTACTGTTTCTCAAAAGTGAAATAAAATAAATAAGTGATAAAATAAATACATTATATAGACAAGTAAGTCGTTGCTGTTGCTCACAGATGGTTGAACTTGAAAGGAGGAGAGTATCGCAACAGATTTCGGACAGTCATTATGTTGGATTTGGGCTATTTTCTTAGGATTTACTTGGGAAATCATTCATAGAGATGAAAATAAAAGGGTTGAAAATCAGGACAACATTTCAGAAAAAACATGTGGGTGGGTTGTTTGCATCTTACCGATGCGCGTTGTACCGAAACCCATTGCTGTATAACTTAAGCTAAATTCACACCAACGGTGCTTTAAAGCGCCATCAAAGGCGCCGTTGGTGTGGACTTAGAACCTGTCCCACCCTACCCAAACTCACCAACTTGATTTTATTATAATAGTTTCAACATAGTATTATCAATTGAAATGAAACTTTGTAGAATGCTCAAAATATCTCTAAGGAATATACACTGAAAGGAGCACGTAGGTTATCGCAAATAATTTCAGAAAGTTATATCTTGGATTATGACTATTTTCTGACAATGAAGACAGGTTTATCTTTTAGATCAATCCATTATCTCAAAGAAAATTATATATATACAGTAATAATAAAGTCAAACAAACTCGGAGATATTTAACTAGCAATCAACCCATCAACACACTTTTTCAAAGATGTTGACCTCATTTTCACCAAAAATGCAATCATTTTTTACAATGTTTAGTGCATTACTATTCTTTATTTTGAAAGAAAAACTCAATTGCTTTAAGATACTTGTTCCCCATGTTATATCTCCATTGAAAAATCTCATGCTATCCATTGCTTTCAGTTCATTTTGGTCATCCAAATTCAATATCTTTAAAGTCCCTGGAGCAATCAACTTTTCCTTTTAGGAAATCAAACATGTCTCAAAGCACATTCTAATTATGCATTCAACAATATAATAAAAGGTTGCATTTTTGGTGAAAATTAGGTCAACATTTTTGAAAAAGTATGTTGATTGGTCCATTGCCCCTTCAATATCACTTAGGTCTGATTATGACTTATCATTATATATACTTTCCTTGAAGATAATGAATGGATCTCAAAGATACACCCATGTTCATGATCAGAAAATATTCATAATTCAAGCTAGAATCTTTTGAAATTGTTTGCGATTACCTACGTGCTCCTTTCATGGAAAAATATCAAGTATTAATTAAATTAGAACATATAGTGTATTACTTCTGGGACAACCCTCGTATAATTCGAAAAAGACTCAAAGTTGAATTTCCCGCCATTTTATCAAAAACTTAGATGATGATGAATAATAACTAATTCCTATCATCCAATAAACTTTCGTACTCCACATGTAGACGGTCGTTAACTTACCTCCCGGGATATCATTCTCCCCAGGCAGAATCTCCGGACATATCCTTGGGTCCTCTGAAAATATAAATAAGTGTCTGATATCACTTGAAATGAATCTAGATGAACATGAAAAATGATTACTTATTTGCATCTGCATCATTCACTTTCCAAAATATTGCGCCCAAAGTGGGACTCGAACCCACGACCCGTCAGCCTGTATGTTCTACCGAGTGGGCTACCCGTGGATAATATTGATGCAGGCCCTCTCATGATAAGACCTAGGCCTAAGGCTTTTTTAGCGCAGCAGTTTGTTTTTGTGTCAGGTCGATGGTGGGGGTACAACATTATGCTAGAATGTAGTAGTAGCCTATTCAATATTGACAAAAAACTACAACCATTGAGCGTAGATTATCGAAGAACGTAATGGGCATAATACATGTAATATGGAGTTTAAAATTCAGGGGCGGATCTGGGAACCAACAAGGGGGGGGGGGGCAAATTTCAGAGAAAAAAAATGTTGGGCCCTTAAAACCGAAAAGTGGGCCCAAAGTTTGAAATTTTGAGGCCCATTTTTCCAAAATTTGGCCTGAAATTCAAAAATAAGGCCTTACAAGGCCCAGTAATTACCAAAAAGGCCCACTTTTTTCTGGGCCCAGATCCGCCAGTGAGATTAGCGTAAAAATATACGGAATCGTATGCAGCAATTTATGATAAATCCTACGGTACATGTCCTCATTCTGATAGCCTAAGACAAAAACTGTTTATGGAATTTATATGCCACCACCAAGAACTGTT